TACCACAGAAACAAGGGGGAGGGGGTGTGGTCTCTCGCCTTTGCTGGGGGCAGGTATGGGGCGGTGACCTGGAGACTTCTTGCTCCCCACGTGGGCCCTGCCCAGCTGGGAAGGCTTCCCAGCGACACCCCAGCCAACGCCTGCTGGGGTTGCACCAGCCGTATTTATCCAAATATCACCTTGGCCAGCGCCTCAGATACACTCTCCTTCTGACGTTATCCTCTGAAATTGGGGTGTGCCTCGCTGTGCATGCATCATGGAATCTTTTTTCCCTTCTGTCTGAAGAGCTCTTGCCGTGTCGATGGTGTGTAGCTGAGGAAATATGGTAGCGGTCTTTTCTCACAGTTGGCAGTTCTTTCTTTATTTGTAAACTAGGGAGAGGCCGTACTGTGTCAGTCAGTTGTGTCTGAGCCCCAGTCCCGGTCCCGTTGCTGCCACCTGGAAAGGAATTTCTCTTTTCCTCAACAGTAGCCAGCCAAACCAGTTAACCACTTTTTTTTTTTCCCCATTCATTTGTTCATTCATTCTTTGCACAAATATCTACCAAGTACCTACCAGGTTTGAGGTGGTGGAGGGGTTTGGGCTGAGAAAATGCAGCCCCGGACTGGGGAGAGGCAGTTAGGATGAGGGGAGTGGACAGACTGGCGGGGTGCAGGCTTTGTGTGGCTTGCCCACCGGGACGCCCGGACACACTCGCATTTAGACAGATCGGCTCATCAAGGGGACAGAATCCTCAAAGACACCCCACCATGCACTGTGGAGCAGGCCCCGGTACTTTATCACGTCCTGTTCCGAGGACCACGTGGTTTCCCGTCCGTCAGCAACTGCATGTGACAGTCACCCCATCCCTTCTCCACAGCCCGCTCTGGCTATTCTGGGACATGGGGCTTTTGTGAGACGGAGGGAGCCAACCCCTCTGAGTCCAGCCTGCCGCTAACACGAACCACGTGTGGGCCTCCACGCCAGCTTCCACGGTGTTTTCCTTGGACGGCATGTCTCCTTTCCCTCCACCACAGACTGGGGTCTTGAAAACTGCTGAGGGAGTGTTCTCTCTTTCCTGCTGGAGGCTGTGATGTGGCCGTCTGACGTGGCTCCCTCCCCCCCCCCCCCAAACTGACTCACTTTCCTCCCGGGTTTCTAGACGTCCTCACCCTGAGCCCTGCTTCCTTTGATTATCTGGGGGGAGGGGTGTGGCTTTTCTGGTTTCCAAGGATACCGGCTCTGGTTGAGCTCTGCCAAGCGAAGCCTCTGGTCCTGCTGCTGCAGACGGCCTGGGTCTGGGGTCCCCTTGGAGGGTCTGGAAGGCTGCCTGGCCTGCTTCAAAGTCAGGGGCTGCCGAGAGTGACCGATCCCTGGACAGAAGTGGCTCGTGGCCTTTGAAGGCGGACGGACACACTAAAGCCAAAAGCAGAACAGCTCCCAGGCCTCTGATCTCCTGTCCCTGCGAATAGCGGGGCCCATTAGTAGGATGATAAAAGGAATCCAGTAAAACTGGGCATGGCAGAAAGAGGAGGATGAATGTGACAGCCCAGCCTTGCCCTGTTTAGTGCGGTTAACACTGGTCACGTGAGGCTATTTAAATGTAGGTTGACATTCATTAAAAGTTGAGGTGCTCTGTCATAGGCGCCACGTTTCAAGTGCTCAGTAGCCACCTAGGGCTAGCGGCTACTGTCAGGGACGGCAAGATCTAGAACCTCTGCATCATGGCAGGAAGTCCCGTTGGACAGCCCAGCGCTGGCCACCAAGGGGACTGCCATAGGCTGCGGTTTGCCAGCCGTGAAACACAGCCTCCTAAGGGAATCTCATTCAGCCTTAACAAGGAAGGAGATTCCAACACGTGATCCCACACAGATGAACCCTGAGGACATGCTAAGTGAAATGAGCCACCCACAAAGAACAAGCACTGTGTGACTCCACTTACATGCGACACCGAGAATAGTCAGACATGTGGAGTCAGAAGGTAGGGCGGTGAGTGCCCAGGGCCGGGAGGGGGCCTGGGGAGCTTGCGTTCGATGGATCTAGAGTTTCAGCCTGGGTCCAGGGGCGGATGGCGGGGATGGTGCATAACCGCGTGAATGTGCTTAGTGCTGCTGAACTGTGCACTTAAAACGGTTGAGATAATCAATTTTATGTTATGTGTACGTAACACAATTTTAAAAATACCCCATGACCTCACCAACTACTAAAAATGATTCCCAAATAACTTTCCAAAGAAGATACTCCTGATGTTTCCCGGGTTTCTCGGCGAGCCCCAAGGAGGCCCCCCAAGCGCCCCACTGAGCGCCCCCTCCACGGGCCCTGCAGCCTGCGTCCCTCCTGTGCGGGTGGTAAATCGGACTCGCCAGGCAGGTGTCTGGCACGGGCGCGCGGCCAGCACGGGGAAGCTCCGGGATTACACTTGGGGCTCTCTGGTCCCCAGGGGTAAAATATCCGTGGTTAGACTTTGCAGCATTAAACCCACGTCTGCTGCCTCAAATTAATGAACACTCCCGCTCCTCGGGCCCCGCTCCTCTGGGTGAAAGCAAGTAGGAAGGATAAAGCGTGAGAGAAACTTCCTGTGAGAGAGCGGCAGAGGCCTCGGGTGGCGGCGCGGGACGGGGCCTCGGGGCGGGCGTGCGCATTCAGGTGGCGCACAGGCGTGGGAGGGCGATGGGCGGCTGGTGCATACCATTTTTGTTTTTTTTTAAGAAAAGTTCCCTTTCATGGTGTTCCAATATTGTCTTAAACAAAATTGAGAAGGGAAAAAGAAGATAGTGTTAGACAAAACCTATAAATCCTTAAAACACTCTGTAGCAGAGACTGGCTAATCACCCAGCTTTTAAAAGGGAAGCGGGCTGTGTACCTGTGTATGGAATAGTAAATTTTCCCCCATCACAGGCTGACCTTTCATGTTCACGTGACCCTCCGAAACTGCTTCATAGAGTGACCGTCGGGAAAGAGAAGGGCATTGAGATTAAGATATTTAAACTGGCTAGGTGACCACTTAGCCGTGTGGCCTGAGGCAGTGCACTGTCCCTCTCTGCTCCCCAGCGTCCCCATCTGTGACATGGGGAGTGTGCGTTTATGTCACGGTATTATTACGAAGGTCAGGTAAAATCACGTGTGTGAGGAGGCTTGTTAACGGCAACTGCCAATCAGATGTTAGTAGGGCTCACTCAGTATCAAGATTAATAATGTGAATATTATTAATCAGGGTACCTGGGAAACATCTCCTGAAGCTGCTGTCTCCCCGGTCTCACTCAGTCGCAGTCATCACTTTCGTTAGTTTTTATTGAGTGCTGACTGTATGCCCGTATCAAAAGGCCCCTGAGTTCCAAACGGGAAGCAAGCCTTTTCCAGCGAGGCACGCTGTGGCCTTGCCAGTCACTGAATGGTGTAGACCACGCATTTCCCCATCGCACGGAAGCACAAATAAAACCACAGCCTCCGCGGCAGCCCTTCAGGGTGCTGGCCACCCTGAGGCTGACCCCCTCCCCAGCAGCGTCCCACGACAGCATGGCCCTGTTCCCTGAGGGCTAAGGATCAGTCCTGTTTAACTGTCTTCACAGCATCTCAGAGGTGGGTGAGGTGGTGGCAGAGTCTCTGGCCCCGCCTCTTGCTGGCTACAGGCTCGTAGAACATTTCTTCGCCGCTCCGGGCTTCGGTTTCCTGGATAGTGATGGCCACCTTGAAGGAATATTCTGAAGATTTAGTGAGAGCATGTGTCTAAAGAATCTAGTCTATGCTTGGCGCACATACATGATTTCTCATCTGCTTCCAAGTCCTCTCGTACCCCCTAAATGCCTACATAGTAGCTGTGCTTATTTCTCCTGGGCTGCTGGAGGCTTCTGTCATTCTAGCCGAGGGACACATCTTGAGTGCCAGGGTGGCTTCCTCTCTGCTTGAATCCTGGGCCCATGACTAGTCAGGATGGGTTAGGATATGCTGCCATGACAGGTAGCCTTGCTATACAACAAGGGTTTATTTCTCACGTGGGCTGCGTATCCTTCAAAGGCTGTCGAGGGCTCTGGACCCTCATCCCAGGACCCTTTCTGGCAGGGAAGTCACCGTCTGGAGTGTGGTCACTCACCATGGGAGAAGGAAATGGAAAGTTAAGAGCCACTCATAACTCTTCCACCCTGAGTGACACATGTCTCTTCTGCTCACATTTAATTGACCATATCCCACTTCAAGGGGGTGGGGAGCTTCAAATCTCCCATGTGCACAGGCGCAAGCCCAGGAGACAGATGGCAGCGTTAATGATTGTACAGCCCAGCTCTACTCTATAAAGCAATCCTGCAAGCTGGCGTCATTATGACTGACTTAAAGACGAGGCCCACAGCATGTCATTTCCCATGACAGGTAGCAGATCTCTGTGGCTTTGTATATCAAATCAGGCATTTCCCATTAATTCCTTCAAAGGTCAGAGAGGCGTTGATTGCACGAGGAGAGGTTTCCGTTTTGGGTCCTCTGGTTCTGCCCCTCCTCTGTCCCCACTGCAGCCTGCTCCTCGCTCTCGTGGCCTGTAATGGTCAGTTTTCTTTTCACTTTCCTCTCCAGACCGGGAGTCTTCCGTCACCACACATCATGGGCCAGCACCGAGCCAGGCACAGGGTCGGACCAGCCTGGGGAGTCCCTCGTGAGCGGGCGAGTGTAATGATCGGGTCTCCAGTTTGTTCCTTAGCACCGCCTGACGGTTCCTAGGAAACAGGATGACCTGCCTGCCACCTATGGAATTCTGGTGGCCCTGGGGGTATCGTCACAGTCAGATCCTGTGGCTGGAGTTCCCTGGGGAAACCTAGAACGGTCTCTCCCAGCTCTGAGCCTTCATGCAGCTGTGGACATAAGGAAATAGTTTCATGGTGATCCTGGGTCCCCTTTACATCATCTTCCCCATCAGTCTGGGTTTCTGAAAAGCTGAACAAAGTGAGCTTCTTTGTGTGTTTCAGGTCAGACAACCAGGTAATGCCTTGAAAGGTCAGAGATGCATTTATATTTTCTGGTATTTTCTTCCTTTACAGATGCAGATGTTGGACAAATTTCCCATGGAAGGAGGCCAGAAGGACCCCAAACAGCGGATCATCCCCTTTCTGCCTGGTAGGTGAGACAGGGGCTCTGAGCTGGGGCCCGTGGGGGACCCGGTGTAGCTCCCAGATCCCTCAGCTCGTCCTCCTTGGGGGACTGTCGCAGTGGCCGGAGTCTCAGTCATTGGTGGGATTTAGTGGCGGAGAGGATGTACCTTGGGGTTAGTGAGAGGCTGCACCACTTACTAGCTTAGGCCTCAGTTCTTCCTACCTCTAAAATGGGAATAATGAAGCTCATAAAGTTTTATAATGAGGGGCATCTATTACGGCTACCATCTCAGTTTTCTATTATTGTGTAACGAATTGCCAGCATTTTAGTAGCTTAAAATAGCACCCATTTATTATTTCACAGTTCTCTGCGTCAGAAGTCCCAGCGGGCTCAGCTGGGTACTCCATTTAGGGTCTCACAAGGCCAAGATCAAGGCCTTCGCCGGGCCGCGCTCTTCTGTGGAGGACCCGGGGAGGAACTGAGTCACTTGCAGCTCTGGAACTGAGAGGCCTGTTCCTTTGCTCGCTGCAGGGCTTCCAGGGGCTGCCTGCACCCCTCCTTCGGGGCCCCTCCCGGCTCAGGCCGGCAGCAAGGCAGTGCATCCTTCTTGTGCTTTCAGTGTCTCTGGGTGCCCCTCCTGCGACCCGCTGGGGGAAGCTGTCGGCCTTGAGGGACTCCTGCGATCGTGTTGTACCCACCCAGCCAGTGCAGGATGCCCTCCCTCTGAGAGGGAGCCATGGCATGCAACGTAACGGGACTGCAGCCGTGAGATCCCATCGTAGGCCGAGGCTCTGGGGAATCCGGCGGCACACCTCGGGGGGTGGGGCATTTTAGAAATCCCACCTGCTCACCTACCTCGGACCTCTGGCTTCTAGACACCTCTCCAGGTGCTGCGGAGCCATTAATGTAACAAAGAGCCCGGCTTTCGAGGCATTCCTCTCCCTTTCCCCGCAAAACTCCCTTATCAGAGGAACAGCATCAGGCCGCAGCTCAGAAAGCGGGCTACCCAAACCAGTGCTACTATCTCCACAGCGACCGCTGACAGAGTGTCTTCTGTGTGCCCATCTCTGGACTGACAGCCTTGCACGAGAGGCCTTGCTAATGTGCCCAGTTCCCAGCTGCAGAAACTGAGGCTCAGAGGAATTACAATCTCTTGCACAAAGGACAGAGCTGGGACTCCAACACAGGCATGGCTGGCTCCAAAATTCACGCCCGCGGCCGGGTGGCCTGGGTTCAGCGCCAGCGTTCCTCCTCACGCACTGGGGTGCCTCGGGGAAATTGTTTCAGTGCCCTGAGTTTCGTTTCTTCTTTTGCACCTGGGAGATGATGACGGTCCGTAAGTCGCAGAGTTGTGGCCCGGGTCAGGTAGGTGCGCGGGCACAGAACCGGCGGCAGCCGAGTGCGTCCCGTTACTTTTACGTCCAGATCCTCGGCATACTGACAGTCGCTCTAAATCACAAGTATGTAGAGCTGGAAGGGCCCATCCGATCTTTTCATTTTGCAGTAGAGGGAGCAGCCCCCGCCAGCGCTGGGGGACGTGCCCCGGGGCACACCGGAGCCAGGCCGCCTTCCCTCCTCCAGGCTGCGCCCAGATGTGTCTTTGTAGAGTGGGTTTAGGGTCAGGGTAGGTGTGTTTGCCAGATCCCCGTCCACTGGGAGGGTCGATTGCCTAAAAAAGCTAATGCTTTTAGTTCTTCCACGGGAAAAATGTGCAGTCACACTGGAATTTTTTTCCCTTTTGGAGAAACCAGGAGTACCAGCTGCAACAGCCAAATCTCACTGCTCCAGGCATGTGCTTTGGAGTCAAACAGACCAGCCCTGCGACCTCCACCTTGCCCCCTGCTGAGCCTCAGTTTCCTCGTCTCTCAAATGGGACATGATCCCTGCTTCCCAGGCATCTCTCCCAGACACATAGTAGGTTCTCAGTAAAGGCAGAAACAGGGTCCAGCGACATTCCTTGGGAATTTCTTGGCATTTCACATTTTGGAGTCATACTTAAATGGTCAGTCTGAATATTCCCATTGAACTGGGCTCTCAATGTAAATTTTTCTCCAAGGAAGGAAAGGAAAGCAGTAAGTTCAAGTCTTCACCGGGTGAAAGGCAAAACCAGCTGTGGAAAACCCTCCCAGGACAGGGAAGAACGTGAGCCGACCCTCTCCCAAGCCCCTGGAAGCTTTTGTGGTTACGTAATTCTTTTCCACCCACGAATTCATGAAAATGCTGTTCTCAGGGACTCAGCCCGGCTTCCCTGCTCTGGACGCCCGCTGTTGCTTGGAGAGGCCCCGCTGGGCCCCAGGACGCCTGGAGCACCCTTCCCGGGCCACCTCCTACCTTTTCCTCGCAGCCTAGGCCAAGGTCAGGGGCCTGCGGGAGAAACGCCCCCTTTACTAGGGGTTCCTTTGCTGCCAAGCCTGCCACGTCAGCAGAACAAAAGCAGGTCTCCTGTTTGCACAAGGGCTGGGGGAGGGGAGAGCCGCCCTCTGCAATTTTCCACCCCAGCAAGAGCTGGGGAAGCCAACTTGGCAGGGGACGCAGCTTGAAAATTAAAAATTACAGTTTGGCCTTTCTCCACTGTGGAAAACAAAAGCCTGCTGGTTCCCACCAAGGGCTGCTCTCTGCGTGGAGCACCCTTTCCACCCCGGGCAGCCTGGCCGGCGGCCGGCCACAGGCTCTCTCGCCCCTTCCCCACGACTCGCTCACGCAGAAACACTTCGCATCGGGTGCAGATCAGGGGCCACTGCCCCATCCACCTTTCACCTGGAGGTACTGGGCGAGGACTTGCGGGCCGCACGGTTCTGCCCCATGGCCCGGCCCGACCCGGCCCAACCCGAGCAGCAACTCCAGCTCCCCTGGGTGTCGGTGGCGAATAGCCTGCAGGAGGCAGGCCTTAAGAAAAGCTGTTAAGGCAAGCTCTTCAGTGCCGAGTGTAACGCAGCATCATCTAAACTGTTTGAGCAAAACAGAAAGCAGTTAATTACCCTTTTGTGAGGGTCTGAGCCCTGCGCTGGTGTCTCCCGGAGGTTCCGTGGAGAGGCGGGCCGCGCTCCCATTTGATAGATGAGGAGACCTGGCCTCCGGACAGCAGTGCGTCTCCACGGCGACGCCGTCCGGACTGACAGGAGGCTCCCTGTCCCCCTTGTTGGCAGGACCCCTGACATGTGCCCAGAGAGTCTTACCCCACTGGGGCTGCACAGGGAGAGGAGTGATGCCTTTGTCATTGTGTCATACCCCCTGGGGACACTGAAGGCACCTGAGTTCTCTGTGCTTATCTCTCAGCCCCTGCAGGCCAGGCCGTGGGTGAATTGCGTTGGATGGTGGTGGCGCCAGGCCGGCCTTGCTGTTGGGGAGAGTTGGGGGGTGGGGGTGACAGGAAGGCACCAGCACCGCCAGCGCCATGTCTGTCGTCAATGTTCTCAGCCGGCTCACACCCTCTCAGCGAGAAGCCTGGGCCCCCACTCTCCACCCTCCCTCAGGCTTGCAGAGGGGAGATGATACCCAAGTGGGACCAAACGTGTTTGGTGGGGACACCTCTCCCATCCAGAGAAGGAGATTAGAGGGCAGGACGCATTTGCCTTCCTGAAGGCGCGGGGCAAGGCTAGGGGTTCTCATTGCCACCCTCGACAGAGGTAAACGGGTTCTCACAGTGACCGGGGGTGAGGGGAGGGCTCCCGGTCCTCTCTGGCTTTGGGCCCGGGGTGTTAAACGCGCTGCACGGTGGGGGCCCTCCCCCACAGGGAAGGGCGATCTCGCCACGTGCCAGCCGGTCCCTGCCTGCTGGGGAGCACCCGCCGTCAGGGCCAGGAGGGCGGGGCCCCAGCGCGGGCCCTCAGAGCAGGGTCCCCGTGGGGACTGGGCCCACCACGCGAGTGAGGGGCTGCCGTTCAGGGAAGCCGGGTTGCAGACCCCTCCCCGCTTTGCTGCATTATTTGCCTTTTGTGGTCTACGTGACATGGAAATTTTCTGATTCTCGAAGCCTTACGGGTTTATGGTAGGAACTTTGGCAGAAGCATAAAGAAGAAAACAAAAATCTCTTTCTTCCACTCCTCAGAGACAAACACTCTGAACCCTGGGATGCACTTTCTTCTAGATGTTTCTTTTCTAATAGGCAGGGTGTATCAGAAATTGGATCACTTCCTAAGCAGAGGTAAAAGTCACCATTGTTAAGAAAGAAGATTCCTAGTTATTGAGGAATATGAGGAATATGTATTTTGTCTCACTGTGATTTTTTCCAATCACTGGAAATGAGCAGAAAAGGCTCACTTAAGCTGACCATAGCTACCTAATTTCCTAAATGGTGCTTTTTAACCCAGAAGCATGTTGTTTGATTATTTTAAATGCTGAATTAGCTAAATGGCCTTTTTGGCTACCAGTCTTCCTTGCCAGCTTGCGTTGCAAATCTTTCAAAATCGATTGGCTTTTGCCCGGCCCCCCTTTCGATTCTGTCCCGCCATGAGGACTCTGGCCTTTCCGACCATCCTGTTCCCGCTCACCCAGGCTGGAGCTGAGGAGACAGGAGCCCTGAGCCCTGTTAGATCGGCGCTTCGCCCCGCCCCGCCCCACCTGCCCTGTGACCCAAGCTCCTCTCCTTGACCTCAGACCAGGCTTGGTGAAGCTTTCAGTGGGTGTCCATGCTGTGCTGTATGGACTGCTGAGGTCTCCCTGTGCCTTTGACCCCTAGACTCCCCGCAGAGGCTCCGCATAAGTGCAGCCGAGGGACTTGTCTCTGTCTCCCACCTCTCTGGCCTTCCTGATGTCTTTTTTCTCATTTTTCCCGCTGCTGCCTGTGTGTGACCCATTCAGAACCACGAGCCCAGGCTGGCTTAACCCTCGGCGCGTTTGCTTGGCTGCCATCTCCTGATGGGGCCGCTGGGAACCCACAGCTTTGCTTTAAACAGCCCTCGCCCCTAGCATTTCAGGGATGCTCGGTGGCATCATTTATATACTCGTGTTCGCCTGTGACCTACACCCTCTGCCTGTCTGTCATCCTCGAGGCTGTGGCTCCTCCCCCCCGTTGCCCAGGGTGTCACTGGGCAAGGAGCAGATGGACTCTCGGTGTTCAGGGAGGGAGGGAGGCTGGGAATCCTTGTTTGCAAACACCGGTCAGGGAAGAAATTCGAGGGATTTGTCACCTGTGCATGTGGAAGCCACTTCCATACATTGATCAAATGTTAGTGTCACATCATCAGGGCACAAAACTGACTAAGGCTCAGTAGGTCCCTATTTGTGCAGAGCCCCACGACCGGTAGGAAGGAAGACCATTGACTGGATAGAATGATGTGTGCAGCCAGAAAGAGGCAGAAACGCTTAACCCAGGTGAAGTGGGTATGAGTTTCCCAAGAGTCATGGTGGATGAGGTTGGGGGTTCCAGGCAGAGGGGAAGGCAGAGAATCATGGGACAGCAGGGAGAGCTGGGGAACGTGAGTCTAGAGCAGAAAGAAGGTGGACGAGGAAGGAGGGGGGGAAGGAGACTGAACGGTCAGGTTAGGGCGTGTCTGTGTTTGCTGCACTGCCCGGGCGGCCTGAGAGTCCTAGAGCGGGACAGCGGGTCTCAGGTCATCAGCCCTGACCATCCTTCTTCATCGAGTAGGAGCGCCTTCCTCCCACGGGTCGGTGCCAGCCTCCTTTAACTCACTGAAACGTACCCTCCGGGTCCCCCTCCCTCCGGCCTTTACGCTAGAGCTGTGAACAGGGCTCTGAAGGACCAGGCACGGGGTCCCCCAGGCCCTGTGCTGGTCCAGCAGGGGTTACTGATGACAGCCAGGAATTCGGGTACCACTCAGGCCTACCGGAGACATCCACATCACACCCTGCAGTTCGCTGAGAGCTCATCGCTGTCTCTTGACGGTGCTGTGTGTTCTCTCGTTTTGTGCAGGCAAGATTCTCTTCCGACGAAGCCACATCCGGGACGTGGCCGTCAAACGCCTCGTGCCAATCGACGAGTACTGTAAGGTGAGTCTGAGGACTGCTGGCTGCCTGGCATCTTTTGTGTCTGCCCTGTGGGTAGGGTTTTTCTTTTTCCTTTTCTTGGCCTTCAGGTGCTTATTGTGAAAATCTGTACCATTGAAAGGAATGTAAAGGAATTACAACTATCCATGATCTTTCAACTCAGAGGCAATAATTATGAAGGTTTTTACATATTTTCTTTCCTTTCTCTCCTGCGTATGTTTCTTTGGGGAATCGAGACCATCCTATCTGTGTTATTTTTGTGACTCTTTCTCTTTTCTTTAATATTATAAGAATTTCCCATGCTGTTAAAAAATCTTCTTCAGCCTACTTTTAGTGGCTGCATAGTGTCCCACTGTGCATGAATGATCCAAAAGTTGCTCAGCCGTCCCCTGTTGTTTCACAGGGCGGCTGGTTTCCAATCTCTTGAGTGTTTTAAAAAACAAGGGGCCTGCTCTTGGTTATACTCTGTTTGAATTGAGGCTGTGGTTGGGAAAGAAGCATAGTTTTTAGTTTGTTTGGCTTCCCTTGCCTTTGGTATTTATTTCTCTAACTTAAAATCATTTGCAGTAATGGGGAAAGGGCAGGAATAGCAAGAAATGCCTTAAAAATGGAGCAGCTAGTGATCTCTCTCCCCTGAGATCAGGAACAAAGCAAGCGCATTTACTCTTGTCACTGCTGTTCTATTTTGAAGTTCTGGCCAGGGTGGGCAGGCGAGAAAAAGAAATAGAAGTCATGCAGGTTGGAGATGAAGAAGTAAAAATGCCTAGATTCACAAATGACATGATTCTATTGTAGAAAACCAGAAGGGACCCACCAAAAACCGATCAGAACTCATAAACGAGTTTAGCAAGATCACAGGCTACAAGATCAATGTACAAAAATCAATTGTATGTCTATACACTAGTAACAAACAACCCAGAAATGAAATTAAGAAAATAATTCCACTCACAGTAGCATCAACAAGAATGAAGTACTTAGGGATAAATTTAATAAAAGAAGTCCATGGTTGGTACACTGAAAATAGAGAACACGGCTGAGTGAAATTAAGGAAGTTCTGCTTTAACGGAGGGGCGTTCCATGTTTGTGGGATGGAAGACTCAGCAGGGTGAAGTAGCAGCTCTCCCCCAGCTGATCTACAGAATCAGTCCAATCTCTGTCAAAATCCCAGTGGGCTTCTTTGTAGAAATTAACGAGTTGATCCTAAAGTGTTTGGGGAAAGGCGAAGAATCCAAAAGAGCCAAAACAATTTTGAAAAAGGTGAACAAAATTGGAGGGCTTGTGCCTACGCGTTTTCCAAACTTCCTACAAAGCTGCAGTCATCGAGACAGTGTGGGGCTGTCATAAGAGAGGCAGGTAAGTCAGTGGAATAGAATTGAGAGTTGAGAAGCAAAGTCTTACAAATTTATAGGCAACTGGCTTTTCAACAAAGGTACCAAGGAATTCAATAGGAAAGAATAATCTTTTTAACGAACAAGTGTGGGTTAATATGACATCCGCATGCACAAAGTAATAAGTTGGACCCTTGCCTCACATCATGCACAAAACATCAACTCAAAGTGGATCATAGCCCTAAACGTAAGAACAAAAACTATAGAGTTCCTGGAAGAAAACAGGAGAAAATCTTCGTGACCTTAATTTAGGCAAGGAGTGCTTATATACACCACCAAAAGACAAAAATTGATAAATTTGACTTCATTAAACTTAACAAACTTCTGTCCTTTGATACGATGGAGAAAATGAAAAGCTGTCTCACAAATTAGGAGAAAATATCCATAAGTCATATATCTGAGAAGGGATTTGTATTGAGACTATATAAAGAACTCTTGAAACTCAGTAATAAAAAGACAACCCAGCCTAAAAACAGACAAAAGACTTGAATAGAAGGAAGACAGACAATGATCAACAAGCACACGGAAAGGGGGGCAGCATCCTTAATCATTAGGGTAGTGCAAAGTCGAACCATAGGGAAGCACCCACACAGCCAGTGGACTGGCCGTCATCAGCAAGCCGGAGGAGACGGGGAGTTACTGAGGACGTGGGGAGACTGGAGCCTCTGCTGGGCTGGGAACACGTGATGGGAAGCCGCTTTGGAAAACAGCCTGGCCGTGTCTTCAGAAGTGAAATTTATTATATGACCACTCCTAAGTATATACTCAGAGAATTAAAAACTTATATCCACACAAAGACTTGGATGCAAATGTTCATAGCAGCATTGACTCACAATAGCCCACAGTCGGAAGCAATCCAAATGTTCGTCACTGGGTGAACAGCTAAAGTGTGGAATGTCTGTACAATAGAATATTATTCCACCGTAAAATGCAGTGAAATAATGCTAAATGGTGCCATGTGGATGAATCTCAAAAACGTGATGCTAAATGGAAAAAGCCAGATGAAAAAAGACTACATAATGCATGACTTCATTTACATGAAATGTGCAGAAAAGGCAAATTTATAGAAACAGAAAGCAGACCAGTGGTTTCCTGGGTCTGGGCGCCGGAGGGAGAGATCCACTGGAAGCTCAACTGGGGAAAATGTCGAAGGCGGCGGAGACTCCTAAAACCAGACTGTGGCGATGGTTGCCCAACTCTGTAATTTACTGAATTTCATCGAGCTTAGTGTACTTACAATGGGTGACTTTTAGGATATGTAAATTATGCTTCAGTCAACCTAGAAAAAATGTAAGGGGGGCGTGGGGGGTGGGATCACCCCTCCCGTGGCTGGAGGCATCGTGGAAGGGTAGCCCTCACTCCTGATTGCGCATCGTCTCTGCCGGGCGTGACCTCGTTTCACCTCTCCCGTACCCTTGACAGTAGGTTTCGTTGTTTCACTGTGTGCATGAGGCAAGGGAGGCCCAACAGAATTGCTCAAAAGAACGGTGTTGGCGGGTTTGAGAGTCGCACCAGGCCTTTTAGGCCTTGGCACTCCCGTGCCACTCACGGCCTCTCAAAGAGAGCAAAATGCAGGAGGCCGGAATATTTACGCGTGTATTTCGTAGAGGCAGATACAGCTCTGACTCTTCTCTCTCCTGAGGGCATCCCTAAAAAGGGATGGGGGCAGGGACAGTCAGGCGCTACTCCCGTCTGGCAGCTCTCTTTGTCCCTTTCTGAATATCTAAAGCTTAAAATCCCTTTGTCCAAGCTCTTGGCAACAACTTTGGGCCCTTGGGGTCACCTTGAGCAGCTGGGAAGTTCCCGCGGGACCTTCCCCAGAAGCTGCTGTCTCTCAGCCCAGAGCGCGCCAGTCCCCCCGTGTCTCCCCAGTCATGATTTCCACGTGCCCAGGGAGCCGCATGCGCTGGGCGCTTGGTGTGGGAAAGGAAATTTAAAATCCTGAAGCGATGAGGGACAGCAGCCGCTGCCTATGTCTGACCAGGACCCTGCAGTGACCATGAATGCGCCTGGACTAACCACAGAGAAGAGACTGTGTGTGTTCGGCGAGCCACGTGGGAGTGACCACCCCAGCTACTGATGCGGTGTAAGAGGCCAAGCGGATATTTTGGGATTGCAGTTTTGGCCTAACTCCCTAGGCTTGGCCTCAAGGGAACTGCCATCCTGGAAGGAGGTGCCACTGCTCTGCCCCTTTTCTCACAAGGTCTGCGAAGTCTTTTACAGACCACGTAGGCTTTTACGTAGCATTGCTGTCTGTTGATGTTGGGAGCCAAGTCGATCTATCACTAATACCTTTATTTTAATAGAAACCGGGGGTCTCCGCCAAGTAAAGATAGATGAGGGCTGTGGACACCCCCAAAGCTAGCTGCCAGGTGCACATCGCAATGGAAGAAACTTTCTGCTCTACTAGACCTATTGTAAAGGTACAGTAGTTAACAGAGTATGGCGTTGGCACAAGGAGAGGTAAACCAATGGAACCAAAGAGAGAATCCAGACAAAGACCCGCGTGTATTTGGATACTTACATTACTGACAAAGGCAGCCTTGCAGATCATTGAGGAGAGGTGGCATGCCTGAGTAAGTGGATATCCGCATGTGAAAAAACCAAAAAGAACCAACCTCTCCCTCACACCACACATATAATTATTTCCAAGGAAATTAAAGACCTGAATGTATGAGGCAGTGCTATAAAAGGTTCCAAAAGATAAAAATAGGGAGATGCCTTTATAATCTCCAGGTATAGAGGGATTTCAGCAGACACAAAAAATACCAACCACAAAATGATTGACTTATTTGACTCCATTAAATTTAAGAACTTCTGTTCATCAAAGCCCAGTGAAAATAAGACTCAGCCAAAATCCCACCACAGCTACGGGCTCCCTAAACAGCCTCTCAAGTGGCTCCGTAAACTCACGGAAATACCAGCGTCTGCCCGACACTGCTTTGCCTGAACGTTTCCCCGAGACAGACGCGGCGTCAGCTCATCGCGGCCTTGTACAATCCTCCAGGAGGGGCACGTGAAAGGCCACCACGCATTGATGTTCCTCTCCCTCTCTTTCTCCCTCCCTTCCTTCTCTAAAGATAAATAAATAAAACCTCTTTTTAAAAAGCCAGCTGAAAAGTTACTTCTAAAAAAAAATAAGTAATGCAATCCTCAAGTAGAGGCAGAACACAGGGGATTCAGAACCCTACACCCGGGGTGCGCCCCCCCCACCGGACGTGCAATAGTGGATTCACCGAGTCCGGTTCACGCAAGGGCCAGAGTGCCTGAGAGTGTTTCTAGAACACCCGTCATCTCATCAGGAAAGAAAATCATTTCAGACAGCTGTTAACGCTGCTACATGAAGGCTGTGGTGTGGGTCAGAGGTCAAGGTAACCGAAGCGAAGGAGCCCTTTCTGAAGAGAGGGCTTGTGATTAGTCTTTTACTTGCAAAAGTGTTCATTCCCAATGTGCGGAAGGACTTCAGTAATGAACTAGCCCGCCTTAGGGTGCAGAGAGAGAGAGCGAGAGAGAGAGAGAGAGAGAGAGACACACACACACACACACACACACACACACCCCCCACACCCCCCCCCCCCCCATGCCTGTGAAGGTGTATGCCCATGCCGTAGTATTTTCAAGTAAACTATAGGCAATATAATAGTGTTTACCAGGCTCCAGCCACTGGCGACCTCCCTTCAAGATTTTAACTTGTATCATTAGCCATAAAAGTAAAAATAAATAAAACTGAAACCACAGCAACAAAAATGTTTGAAAATCTTTCCACCTCCCCTTGCTGAGGCTCTGCAGAGCCAGGGCCTGCTCTCAGGAAGCAAGTTAGAGAAGTGTTTTCTTCTGGGAATTTGTCTTATGTTTGAGTCTTCACTCCATTTTGAGTTGATTTTTATGTATGGTGTAAAATAAGGGCCGAATTTTATTCTTCTGCATGTGGCTATCCAGTTTCCCCAGCACCATTTGTTAAAGAGAACAGTCCTTTCCCCATTGTGTATTCTTGGCGCCTTTGTTAAAGATCAGTTGACCATACGCATGGATTTATTTCTGAGCTCTTGGCAATGTTTTTTGTGGATCTGACATCAAAAGTACAGGCAGCAAAAAGGAAAATAGACAAGTAGGACTACATCACAGTAAAAAGCCCTGCACAGCAAAGGCAACAACAGAGTGAAGAGGCGACCTACAGAATGGGAGGGAACATTTGCAAACCACGTATCTGATAAGGGGTTAACCTCTAAAATATAAAGGAACTCCTCCTACATCTCAATAGCAAAAACAGTAACTCAATTTAAAAAATGGGCTAAAGACTTCAGTAGCCATTTTTCCTAAGAAGATATGCAAATGACCAACAGGTACATGTACCTGATCATAAAAAAAAATGTTCAGTGTGTCAGGGATCATCAGGAAAATGTTGATCAAAAGCACAATGGACCCTGGCTGGTGTGGCTCAATGGATTGAGTGCTGGCATGTGAACCAAAGGGTCACCAGTTCGATTCCCAGTCAGGGCACATGCCTGGGTTGTCGGCCAGGTCCCCGGTGGGGGGCATGCGAGGGGCAACCACACATTGACGTTTCGTTCTCTCTCTTTCTCCTTCCCTTCCCTTCTCTCTAAAAATAAATAAAATCTTTAAAAATAAAATAAGATAGAAGTTTCTGGGACATTCTTTTTGAAGTTAAAGAGGATGGAAACCACGAAGCGCTCTCTCCAGCCCAGGCCTGTTATTTAACATAGTCATCCTGCTGTCTCCAGACTCACCTGTGGAAATCACAACAACGCGGTACTTGGCGACAGCACAGAAAGCCAAGGACCAGCTTGCTCTTTACCAAGCAGCCGTACGTGATGGGGCCCTTGTAGCCAGTTGCTCGCCCGCTCTGTACCACACCCCTCCAAGGAGGGTGTTCGTTATGCCTGTTGTACCAGCGGGCAGCCTGAGGGGCAGGGAGGTGACAGGCGTGACCAGAGCCTGAATCTGGAGCTGGGCCTGTCTGACCTTTGATGATTCCCCTCAGGAAGCACAGCTTGCTCTTCTCTTAGCCCTGCGCCAACCAGCCACGTGTGCCCACGGGGCCAGGATTCCATCCAGGACAGCACCGAGCTTTCCTGGAACCGCGGCTGTTTGACATTACTGACCAAACACAAGACGGCTCTGGAATATTTCAGAAGCAGGATTATTTCCCTGCCCCAGGTCATGTTTTTACTGTTAGCCTGTCCTTCCAAAAGGAAAGGCGCAAACATCAAAGCGTTCAGTGCTGCCTTGCATTAGCAACTTGGCTGTATTTTACGGTTTGGGGGTTTGGTTTGGCGTTGGCGTCCCAGGAGTTGCTCAAAACCGAAGGAGAACTTGGCCCTGTCGGGAGGTTGCCACGGACCTCGTTGTCCCGTGGTCCATTCAGGGCCTCTGCCGGTTTCAGCAAGGAGCATCCTGGAAGGCCCCCTCTGGGCACAGACCACGGCCACCATGGGGCCCACCCAGCTCGCCCCAAACAGGGTCACACGTGGCCACATCCGGCCCTCTTCCTTTCAACCAGGTATCAGGCTCCCACCAGCCCTGTCTGGACGTGTAGGGGCGGTGCGCCCGTACGAGGAGCAGCCTCATACGCTGGCCGTCTGTGCATGTGGGGTAGCAGGCCCGGGCACTTCCCCTGAGCCCCCGTTTCCCCGTCCCGAAAGTGGGCCAGCCGTCCCAGGAGTACCTGGGGCAGCAGACAGACTCATCTCGGGGGCTGAATGCTGAACCAACAACTGGGATGTTGTTACCGCAGTCTGGGGGAAGCCGCAAGATTTCTGCACACGAAGCAGCCAGGACATACCACAGTCCAGCATGTAACCAGCCCCTTCATTATGTGGCTCCGACTGCAAGGGCTGCAGGATTTCAGAGGAAAGACACTCCTAGGGGACCCGGGATTGCAGCGCGACCCGGGTGGGAGAATGAATACCTGCTGCTTGGAACCAGCAAGCGAGGTGGCCAGGAGCTGGGGCGGGATGGGCCTGCGCGGGATGGGCCTGCGCACTCCCTCTGGCCCGGAAAAGCTCAGGTCCTGGGGATCCGCTGCAGGACAGCAGCCACTGCAAGGTTACTGTGAAAACTCAATGAGCCACAAGTACCCGGTCAGCATCCTTCACTTCACTCCAGAAGGACAGAGCGGCGAGTGACCAGGGGAAGGCACCCTACTAAAACACCCGCTTCTGCCCTGGCTGGTGCAGCTCAGTGGGCTGTGTGCTGGCCTGCGAACTGAAAGGTCCCAGGCTCAATTCACGGTCCGGGCACCTGCCTGGGTTGCGGGGCCAGGTCCCTGTTTTGGGGCATCTGAGAGGCAACCGATTGATGTTTCTCTCCCTCTCTTTCTCCCTCTCTGCAAAAAATAAATAAATTAAATCTTTTATAAAAAAACCCAACCCCACAGGTTTGCCCACTTGAGATCTGGGCCAGGCAGGTGTCAAGTGAGAAGCGGGGGCTTAATTTGGAGCCCCACTCAAAGGCTCTGTGGGGCCCAGAACCCAAAAGGTGACACATCCATACAATACAATATTATTTAGCCTTGGAAGGGGAGGAAATTCCCACACAGGCTACAACATGGATGGACAGCCGCACGGCAGTCAACGTACATAAGGCCACTGCACTGTATGAACACTGAACAGTGGTTAAGGCAGTATGTTTTAGGTTCCGTGTATTTTACCACAATGAAGATTTTTATAAGCTGGGAAAGTGAAATACATAGGGTCAAAATACCCCGGAAACACTGTAGAAGGTGCCCCACTGGAGACTGCCCGCCGTAGCCCAGGGGCAGGGTTGGAGCATCGCTTTGTAGGGCGGGGAGGAGCTTTTGTAGGCTCGTTGCATAGAAAATACCGGGCGTGCCGTTTCCAGCCCCGCCTCACACTGAGGAGGCAGGAAGGCACGGGAGAGGCACCCAGGAACCCGGGCCTTCGGCGGAGAGAGCAGGCCCCGAGTCGCGGATGCTGCCCAGATCCGTGCGCGTGCACAGGCCACGCTCCGCGCATGGACGTTTGTGAAGTGTGTGCAGGGAGCAACTCTGCCGCTCTCAGACCTTGGTCCTCGGGACAGGGCCAGGGGCGGCTGAGTAAATATTTGTTAAACGGAGCTGTGTATTGTGGTGCCATGTCTTTGTTTAGGATTCTTTCATGACCTCAGTCACCCGGAACTTCTCTCCTGTTTGGCACAGACACCAGCGCAGCGCTGGGCATAAGGAAGACGTCCGCTGAACCGTTGAGTGAATAGCTGCTGGTAGATAAAGCAGCGCCAGGAAGCCCAGTCCCGCTCTGTGCCCCCCACTCACTGCCTTCCCTTCTTTATGGCAGAGGTGGGTGAGGTTCCTTTAACTGGCAGGTCCAGGGAGCAAAGGAGCACGGATCTGGGCAGTGGGAAGTCCAGGGTGTTTCACCCTCAGCAGCCTGGGAACTTCCCACCCGACCTAACTCATGAACCAGTCCCTTCACACCTTGGCCTGGCGGTTTGGTTGGTTGGAGCCGCAAACCCAGAAGGTTGAGGGTTCAATCCCCAGTGGGGGCACATGCAGGAGGCAACTGATTGATGTTTCTTCTTCACACTGATGTTTCTCTCTCTCTCCCCCCTTCCTTTCTCTCGAAAATATAAATGCATATATTTTCAAAAATTTTTTAAAAAACCAGTTCCTTCCCTTTAGCCCTTCAGATCCATGAGTTAGGACACGGACGCAGGCATGTCAGGAACAACCTAACGTTCAGGGCAGGCGGCCAGCTGAAGGACGCATGATACATTAGACAACAGATGCCCGCCATGTGGTGTAGGCGGCGTGGTAGCAGGATAATGGCATGGTGTGAAGATCACACTTTATAGTCTTGTCTAAATATCTGCATGTTATTTGTGCAGATATGCCTGTGACATATACATGCACTGTAAGTAGGTTTATAGTTTGTTGGTATTGGGAAAAAATACAATAATTAATAAATAACACAGAATAAACGGTTCTGCGTGCTCACAACTATAAACCTACTTTGTCCCTCCCTGTACACACACTCTGTGTGTGGGGGGGGGGCTCCCCAAACCAGCAGCAGCACCATGTAATGGTAGAAATGCACGTTCTCCAGCCCCACCCCACACTTCAGTCAGAAAATCTAGGAGGGAAGCCCAAGAAATGGGTGTTTTAACAAAGCTGCCCCCCACCACCACCTTCCTGCTGCGCTTCTGCTGCCAGCCTGAGAGTATAGCACACACGACGACCCTCTCTTCTCCGCGCTCACCTGTCACCTGTGTCTCTTCTCCAGGCCCTGATCCAGCTGCCGCCCTACATCTCCCAGTGTGACGAGGTGCTGCAGTTTTTTGAGACAAGACCCGAGGACCTCAATCCCCCCAAAGAGTAAGTTGGCTTGTGGACCTCCGCCGAGCGCGCCCCGCCAGCCCCAGGAGGACCCCAAGGAAAGCAAAGGGAACGTTCACCCGGGTTCCACTGATCGAGCACCCGCCAGGCCTCGCTGCATGTGGCCCTCACTGTCACTGTAGGTGGGCAGTGACAGTCGAGTTTTACAGGTGAAGGGAGCTGGCAGAGTGCACCCCGGGACCCCTCACACCTGGACAGATGGGTCAGCTCCCTCCCTTTCTGCCTCAGGTGCGTCATCTGTGGACTGAGATCATCACTTCCGCTGCCCCGTCACTCACAGTGCGGGGCGGCTGAGAGGCTGTGCGGGGAGAGGTAGGATGTGGCCTGCAGTGAATTTCCCAAGTGTGGGGCCGAAATGGGGTGACACCCCCACCTCGGCTGTTGTGTTTGATAATTCAAGGGCTGGACCTCTTCCGCAGCTTCCTGGCGTTGGGGTTTCATTCTGACCTTTTGCAGTAGAGTCCACTTCCTCACTCGTTAAACAGAAGTAATAGTACCCCCCGGCCTCACAGGGTCACAGAGAGGCTGCGAGGTGTGTATGTGAAGCCCTTCGCATGCGGCCTGGCACGCAGGAGGCCACAGCCAGTTTTCACCGCTCCTCGGCTGTCGGCTGTCCAAGACGCTTGGGCTTTGCAGTCTTTCATGGAAGGTGACGGAGACGCTGATTGGTCTGTTGATTGCGGGACGTGGGCACCCCATGGAGGTGCTCGGTTTGCATCCAGGAAGACCAGAGTGCTTCTCCGGCCCTCCAACAAAGACAGTGTCAGCTCGTTCACATGCCTTTGCCCTCCAAGTAGCTCCCCCACCACAGCCACCCACGCTGAAAGCCCAGGAAAGACGAGTCCAAACGGAATGAAGTGTTGACACAGGCTTTTCACGTAAGGGCCCTGAAAACAGCACGCTGCATGGAAGGGCCAGACACGAAAAGCCCCCTGTCGTATGACCGTTCCTATAACATATCCAGAAGGGACAAACAATTAGAGACAGCACACAAATTAGTGGTTGCCAGGGGCCTGGAGGAGGGGACGGGGGGTGACTGCTAATGGGTATGGGGGCTCCTTTTCGGGGTGACGATAATTTTCTGGAATTAGGTAGTGGTGCTGGTTGTAGAATCCTGTAAGTATATTAAACACCAGTGAACGGTACTCTTTACAAGAATGAATTTTATGCTCTGTGAATTACATCTCAGTTTTTAAAAATTGGGTGTGCGTTCAGATGCTGGCAGTGCTGCTTGCCAGCTCTGTGGCCTAGGGCAAGTTACTTAACCTCTGTGCCTTGTCTTCCTCACCTGTAAAATGTGCCTCCTAGGGTTCTCGTGAGTAGTACATGAGTGAATTAGAAGTACCTAGCTGGGATCTGGCACAGGGTTATTAACATTAACATTAGTTATTAAGTAAGAATTAGCTACTGTTACTGTTGCCACAGCGCCTGTCCCAACCCGACCTCCTGTCACCTCGCCCTCTCTCTATAACGCCCGATGTACAAATGGGATGATCCACCTAGAGGTGCTTGGCAAACCGCGGTTCGGGATAGTGCATTTGTCATGCAGTTGCACGTATGAGCGCTGACGTGACTGACAAGGGTAAGGGTGTCGCCATCACTCAGCATTCCGTGTGCGCTCTGGCCCACAGTCGCGTCCCCGTGTCACCATGGGGGAGATGGGCTTCAGTCACTGCTGTCCACAGTCTTAGCGTGTTCTGCTTACCGCCGAGCACTTTCTGCTCCAGGTCTATGTCTCCGGGGACCCCGATAAGTGGACAAGGCCACCCCTGTGCCTGATGAGGTGGGCGTCGGGCCTGGCACCTTTGTGGAGGCCCCTGCACCCACCAGCCCCTCCCTGGGGCACCAGAGCACTTACCCGGGAAAGGGAGAAGATTAAGAGGAATTATTATTATTATTACTATTTTTAAAGGAATCTGGGTCCCTGGGGCTGGCTTGAATTTTAGTTGTTGACTGGACATGGTACAAGATGGAGAATCTCAGTTTCCTAACAGACTACCTTAGGCCGGTGCACAGCATGTACTGACTCGTTCCTCTTTCTCACCCCCATTCTTTCCTGTACAGGGAGCATGTTGGGAAAAAGAAACCTGGTAAGAATATTTTCTGTTTTCTTCTATTCCTTCAATGTTCCTCCTACCCCTACTGAGCACCTGTGAGGTATATGCCAGGCCCTGGGCTCCATGCTGGGGTACAGCCATGCGGGTGGATGGATGGACGGATGGACAGTGGATGGGTGGATGGATGCTGGATAGATGGATGGATGGATGGATGGACAGATGGATACCTGATTGCTTGATTGGTTGGCTCATACCTCACCCTGTTCCCCCTCCCCGGCCTCCGCCAAAATGATTGGCAGCTGTTTCATCTTACACCAAAAAAATTACAAAGTGGATGAGTCCTGGTGTGTTTCCCAGAGAGCACCTCACAGGGATCATGGGAGAACTTCCTGACCGTGCAGCAGGGTGCGAACTGCCTTTCTTCTACTCTACACAAAGGAACCTGGTAACTCAGAACTAGCACCGCCCTTCTCAGGTGTCTTGGAAGGAGCCATAGGGGAGAGATGCCGGGTCTGGAAGAGTGAGCAGACCCTTCCACACAACGGAGGGCATTTGGGGCTGAGGGGCCAGTCGGAGTGCAGGCGGGGAGGCAGAAGCGTTGTTAGGTCTGGTTCCCGATCCATTCGCCCTCCCCAGCCCTAGACCCGCCCCTGTACTTCCTCCTGTCACCACTGTCCGGGGCTGTGACGGCTGCTGTTTCAAGCAGCTCCCATACTCCCTTACATGCCCCGCCCCCCGCCCCTCCCTCCCAGAGTGGGTCCTCTCCCTCCCTGACACTCTGCAGCCCCCACCCAGCACTGCTGCTCTGTCAGAGCAATCCTGGCAAACAAGAAGGTGGGATGTGGGCGCACACAGGGATGGTTGAGTTCTCCCAGGCCTGCGTTGGTCAATTCCGGTTTCTCTTGCCCCCCACCCAAGATCAGCCCCCACGTCTGCGAAGGCCCTACCTGCACTGCACCTGGCGCCCAAGTGGCCGTCAGAGCATCTGGAAACCTAAGTTCTTTTATTTATCTATGACCCCAGGAAGTTGGAGGGGGTTGATAAGGATGAAGAAAGGGGGTCAGCAGAGATCCCAGAAGTAAGAAAAAATGGCTCCACTCGTGGGCCTTGGCTTCGTCATCTGTAATATGGGGATAATAATAGTAACCTACCTTACAAGATTATTATAGAATTTGTAGTGTTATGTATGACACACTTAGAACAGTGCCCGGTGTATTGTAAGTGACACATGTTTGCTGCTACTTTCATTCTGCTGCTGTCAACTCAAAGCACCCAGATGTCCCTCTGCAGCATTAGTAGAAATTTCACCAGCCCTGGTCCCCTGGGTCCAAGGCCAGTGGTCGGCTTTACAGGCCCCGGTGCCGTTCTTGCAGGGAAGAGTGGGAGGAGCTGGTTCTCTTGCCCCAAGGTGCAGCTCTGCCATGAACTCTGGCCCTTTCCCAAGCGGTCTGTTTACAGCTCTACTTTGTGGCTTACTCAGTACTGGCCAGCGCCCTGGCGTCCTCCTACAGCTGCAAATAGTCCTTGAACCCAGGGGATAATGACACGTTTCTTAGAAAAGAGCAAAGTGGCCACTCTTGGGCTGGTCACAGAGTCCCTGGCTTTGAGCCTTTCCTGGAAGGAATGGGTGGGAGGCAGAGAGGAAAGAGACAGCTCTGGTTTGGGAAAACAAAAGTGGCCCTGCAGACGGGCTTGATGAGGGGACCAGTCTGGAAAAGAGAAGAAGCTCTAATTTGTGGCAACCGCTGGTATATCATCCACCTGCAATGATTTATTTATAGTTCTGCCGGGTGGAAAATAGCATCTTTCTTCCTCCAGCTGAAGAACCCATGCTGGCATTAGCCTTATTTTCTGCCTGACCTTTGAGAGCACTTCCTTTATGTTAGAACCAGCCTTCCTGATTGAATTTGAAAGGGATTTAAAGTTGACAGCCAAGCCCTGAGATCCCTGCACAAGGACTCTGAGTTGGAGAAGGCCTATCTGTCTCCAGAATTTTCCAGCCGAGCCTGGCTGGCTGGCTGGCTCCTGCAGACTCTGGCTAACGTGGTCTCCAGTGCCGTTCATCCTGCAGGGGGGAAAACCAAACCGTCCTCCAAAAGTCACCAGGTCATGGGATGGTTTAAGAAGCATCCTTCTCATGAACAAAGTGAACTAACAAGCAAAATAGAGACAGAACCCTAGATAGAGAGCTGGAAGACGGCTGTGGGTGGGGCGGGTTAGGGAGCGGAGGGGTGGAGCAGAAAGGAAAAAGGACTCTCGGATGACACCGGGGGTTGTGGGGGACAAGGGGGATCCAAGGGGGATAAGGGGCAATGGAAGAAGCCTCTCCTTCCTGATTTTCTACCCTTTACTGACACTGAGCAAGACCAGCAGTGGAGTGGATTTCTGGGACGCAAATCCTACTTCTCTGTTACTCCTGGTATTGGTCTGCTCAGGCTGCTATGATTAACTGCTATAGACTGAGAGGCTTCCTTTCGCACAGGTGTGGAGGCGTGGGCGGGGTCTGGAGAGAGCGCTCTTCCTGGCTAGGAGGCTGTTGCCTTCTGGCCGAGTCCTCCGAGAAGGAGCCCCCTGCTGTCTCTTCTTATAAGGACACAAACCCCAGCATGAGGGATTTGTCCTCATGACCTCATCTAACCTAATTACCTCCTCAGGCCCCCCCTCCCAGTACCATCACATGGCGGTTATGGCTTCAACAGATGGCTTTTGGAGGGATAGAGTTTTGCCCATAGCAGTTATTTTTAAATTTTAAGATATGTCATCTTGGCTCTGGCTGGTGTGGCTCAGTGGACTGAGCGCCGGCCTGCAAACTGAAAGGTCTCTGGTTCGATTCCCAGTTGATTGCCTGGGTTGAGGGCCAGGTCCCCAGTTGGGGGCATGTGAGAGACAACCGATTGATGTTTCTCTTGCACATCAATGTTTCTCTCCCTCTCTTTCTTCCTCCCTTCCCCTCTCTCTAAAAGTAAATAAATAAAATTAAAAAGATATATCATCTTGAATAAAAACATGGCCACATAGAAAATTCTGTGGTCGATTAGGCACTTGTATCTTGAGGATACTTTATAGCACTCCTTCAATGGTAAAATCACCCTTCCACTGTGCAATCCCCCTCTTTCGGCTGACTTTTTTCTTCCCTCCTGCTGGACCACAAGAATGACATTCCTTACCTAGGAGTGCTTTTCTTTCACACTTGCAGCTCTGAGAATTTAGCTACACCCATCAACTTTGGGGTATTGCCCTTAGTGTGCACTATAGAGCTTGGCTGCAATATCACAGTCCACCAGGAGGTGTCTCCATGTAACACCTAACTGGCCTGAGGCCTAGCTTGAGAATGGCCTTTGAGACGAGATTGGGCGCGTTCAGGGTGGGGTGGCCATAGATAAGAATGTGGCATTTCAAATCCTAGTATCCCTGGTTTTGATAAGTTGTGTTCTGTGGATGTGCAGGTGCCGAAGGCAACCTGCTCTGGAAGCGCTGGTGCAGAAAAATCAACCCCACGCACTCTCCTCTGAACCACTTAGCAGCAGGGAACTACAGTCTAAAAGCTAGTGTTATGGAAGAACAGGGCAAGCACCCTATCTTAATCCAAACCTCCAGTGCCCGCACAGGACAGGCACCTGATACATTGTGGTGTTTGAGCAAACGAATGAAAGAATGGATGGATGAGACTAGTACTGTAACAGTTTCTTTCTCTGTTTAGAATGTTCTTCTGACCTACTCCCCTCCCCGGCTCCTGCTTCTTCACAGGTGGGTGGCCAGATGTGACATCTGATAGTGTTTTATATCCCCAGGGAGTGACCCGACCTCGGTGGACCCCATGGTCCTGGAGCAGTACGTCGTGGTGGCGGACTACCAGAAGCAGGAGAGCTCGGAGATCAGCCTCAGTGTGGGGCAAGTGGTGGACATCATCGAGAAGAACGAGTCAGGTAGGCGCCAGACCACCGCCCCCCCCCGCCCCCCCGAAGCCACGAGGACAGGAGGCACCGGGAGACGCAGAAAGTGCAGCAGCCAATCCAGGCTGTTCAGTGTCTGCGGGTCGGGTTGATGACCTCCTAGAAAACTGCCCCTGTTTGGTCACAGTGTTCAGATATCCTATTTGGTCACAAGTTACCAGCGTCCTGTTGGGTCAGATGTTGCTGATTTGTTTTGAGGTTCACATTTCATGAGCATTCCTTCTGGTTTCAAAGCACTCGGAGACACAGAGTCTGGCATTCCACTGAAAATTTGCTTGGTTCATTTTCTTTGATGGCCACAGGAGTCTTCATGAAGGTTCCTTCAGCTGTGGGCTCTGGTGAGGACTGGACACACTGCCTGTCTCCTTAGCTCACCTGCCCGTCGCAGGGACCACTGGTCATGTGCACTGGCCGGGTCTGGGACAGACTAGGGTATAACTGAGATGCTCAGCCTGGGTTTCCATCTGAACTCAGCATTTCACAGCCATGCAGGCTGCTGCCTGTCTCTGACCCTCAGTTCTCTCATCTGTGAACTAAAGCAAAGCACATGTCTGCTCCCAAGGGCTGGTGTAAGGATTAAAGGAGGAAATCTATGGAGAGTGCCAGAGCCTGTGCTGGGCACACAGTAGGTGCTCAACAATGTGAGTGTCGTTCCCTTTTGCCTGCCTTAGCCCCAAAGCAGCCATTGGCACCATGGAAGGCAAAGAGTGAGGAGCAGGAGGTAAGCAGATCCTCTCCAGCAAAAAGTGGCAGAAACCCACTGGCGGCCTGGTGGCTACAATGTGACGTTGGCTGCAGTATCATTAGCAGGCCAATCTCCGTGATACCCTGATGACTAGTTACGGTTTAACAACCAGTGGAAAGAGTGTGTTTCCAGCAGCATGTGGATTACATTCCCATCTGTCATGAGACCAGGGTTAGCCAACCAAATGTCCTATTATTCAATAGAGCAATTGTTATTCCTGATTCAAAGCTGAAGAAACCAAGATTCCAAGCGACTTGGTCACTCACCCAAGGTCTCCTGACAGCACGCTGAGCTGGAATTCCAAACCAGTTCCTGCTGGTCCCCAGGCCATGTGACTTTCTGGTGTCGGGGATGAGTACGTGCAGATCATTGTATGACCAGGAGGCTCATGGGGCCTAACGAAAGCAGTGCCCTTTCCCTGCGGGCCACCTGCTTGCGTCAACTCATAAAGAATGCATTGCAGGGGGGTGGGAGGAGCCAGGATGGAGGGTTGGGGACAAGCCTGGTTTATCCCGAGGCTAGTGTGGGGAGAAGGCTGATAGTCAAATCTTCAAGCGGCCAACAAACTGGCAGCGTTTCTTTTTAATTGTATATTTCGTACTTATCCAAGTAACATATGGATACATTCTCCTTAACACATTCATGATAAAGTTAAAATCTACTTTTCCTACTAACTTCAACCCTAGTCCCTTTTTCAAACCCCAGATAATTTTTCTGTTAGGTTGGTATGGATTCTTGACAATTATATGAATTGTATGCATACAACACACGTGTGTCCATAGAGTCGTACCTCCAAGATATTGCAGGTCTGGTTTTACACAATAGAACAAATACCTCAAGTATCACAATAAAGCAAATTACACGAACTTCTTTTGGTTTCCCAAAGCATATAAATGTTAGGTTTACACTAGACTATAGTCAATCAAGTGTGCAATAGCATTATGTCTAAAAAAAGTACATACCTCAATTAAAAAATAATTTATTGCCCCAAAAATGCTAACCATGGTCTGAGCCTTCAGAGAGTCGTCCTCTTTGCTGGTGGAGAGCCTTCCCTTCAATGTGTAAAAAATGCACTGTCTGCAAAATGCCATCAAGCAAAGCTCCATAAAGTGAGGTGTACGTGTACGTGTGCACGCACACGTGTGTGTATGTGTGACCGCCCCTTCCTCCATCATCGAAGCCAGCAGTGTTGTCCCTCTCTGCTTTCCTTCCATGGCCACATGTCCCCCTGGCTCTTCTGCCTCCCTCTCCATAGTTAGGTAATTAAGGACCCAGTGATTACATCAGCCCATGCGTGTAATCCATGATCACCTGTCTCCTCATTGGACGGTCAGCTGATTAGCAGCCTTAATCCCATCGGCAGCCTTCACCCCCCCTATGCCATGTGATTTGGCATATTCATGGGTTCCACATGGGGATTGTATGGCCATCGCTGGTGGGTCCTTATTCCTCTCACCACAAGCTCCATACAGACTTTGCTCTGCAGAGGGAGGGCCCGAGTCTGGGGGAGAGGCCTCGTAAGCGGTCACATCGGCAGCCAGCTTGACCTTGACATGAACAGGGAGATGCAGGACCAGGTGAGTTACTGCGGCAGTGGCTTCAGCAGCAGGCAGCCCGGTGCCATAAGCCAGGAGAACGCAGACAGGTCTATTCGCCCCATGGAGCCTCAGTTTCCTCATCTGTGCAGTGAGGATGGTAATGTGAAGAGGATTAAGACCGTGCAAGTATAATAACAAGTGCCTTGCACACCCAGCCTAGTGACAGTGGCTATGTGCTTTACTCTCGCCTTTCAGGACGACCTGTCCCCAAGGCGGGCTGGTTCAGTCCCTCTTCACCAGTTAGCATCAGCTGACACAGCAAGGTGTGTTCCGCCGGTAAAACGGGCGCTTGCAGCCTTCCCTGAGTGTTGACACATCCAGTGCCTGAATGTGTTACTGTACTCTGACACCCAGACCTCACGCCCGGCCCAGCTGACACCGGTCTGCACTCTCGTTCCGCAGGCTGGTGGTTTGTCAGCACCGCGGAAGAGCAGGGCTGGGTCCCCGCGACCTGCCTCGAAGGGCAGGACGGTGGGCAGGACGAGCTTTCCCTGCAGCCTGAGGAAGGTAAGCCGGGCCCGCGCCTCTGGCCTGCTGGGCGCTGGGCTGGCCGTCGCCCCCAACCACGCGGGCGGTCCCCACCCAGCCCCTTGTCTCCGCGTCTGCCTCCGGGTAGTCTGGGGACATGAAGCCAAGCATGGGGTCACGGTTGATGGGCACGCCTGCCCTTTCTTAGGGGCCTGTGGGAGCCAACCCAGGGGAGCCTGGCTGGAGCTGGGCCTGACACCTGGTTTCTGTCAACACAGGCCACTTAGCCTCCCGGGAACCATTCTCACCAGAGTGCTTCCAATTCATTTGCAATTCAGCAGAGCCAACTGTGAAGATCTCTGTTTTCCCTGTTGGTTTAATGGCCCCAACTGGGCATCAGTTTCGTTTCCCAGAGAACTCTCCCCCACAGGGTCCTGAGGCGGGAGTGCCCCCCATGTCTGAGCCGCTAAGGCCCAGCAACTCCCCCCGCTCCAAAAGCACTCCTAAAACTAGAGTGCGTGTTCACCTAGCTCATAAACAGAAGGATTTAAGGTCAGACCGACAATAATGGGAGTCTCAGCTGCAGCACCGACTGGCTGAGGGAACTCGGGCCGGCAACTGAACCTCTCCGCAACTGGGCCGCCTCAAAAAATGGAAAGGATGTCCGCATCATGGGATTTTATTTTTTTAAATTAAATGAGATCCCACATGCAAAGCACTTGACAAAGAGCCTAAACAATAATAAAACAGCGAGGACCAGTTATTATCATATAGCTAGGCTGACCGAGGGTTGAACATTTGGGGCTTTTAGCTGATTGTTTTGAGGAAGCACAAAGCCACTTAAGTATCTATTTATCAGAACAGAGAGTGAAAAGAAGGGGGATATTTCTGTGCTCAAAGGGTAACAGCAAGAATTGTATATGGTTTTGCGTTTCATTTTATCACGGCCAACAGCCCTCACAGTAACGTGTCTGTTGGTTTGCTCTGCATTTGCCCAGGGGGGGCTGGGCCACAGGGGAAAACTGCCGAACCCGCTCAGGTTGGGGGCAGGGGTGTATACCGCGTGGAAATCAGCTCCCCTAGGCCGCTAATGCCGACCGCCCGGGCGTGCTCCGGAAAGGGGCTGCTTATTATCCTCATTCCACAGATGAGAAAACAGCCTCGGAAAGGTAGACATGCCTGCCCAGGGTCCCGCAGCTAGTAGATGGGAGAGAGACCACGTTTTCCCAAGGATTTGTACACTGTTCTTCCCTTTGCCACAGAGGCTTCTCTCAGTGCCTCTCTATGATCGTGCCAGGGATAGAATTATGTCTCCTGGATGCCTCTTTACTCAAGTGTAAGTTTAATCCTCGGGAACTCGGTCCTTTTGAGACACCTGGGTGTGGCATAGACTTAGGAATAATTGCTCTTAAATGGGAACACGTCCCTTTTGCCTGGAGACCCTGGAAGTGCTTTTTTTCTCACCTCTGCCTTCTGCCCTTCACCTCCACATGCTGCCCGTCCAGTCTCATGGAGGTACTGGTCTCTGCCCCGGCCCGCGGGCCGCCGCCGGACCCTGGGGGACTTGCATGCCATCAGCTGGCGTCCAGGTGTCTGCCTCGGAGTTTGCTTCCCTGTCCAGGGCCGGGAGCCAGGTCCCTGCATCTGCATGCACCTGCCTGCTCTGTGCCTGTTGCCTGTGAGAGACAGTGACCTTGTCTGTGCCGCGTGCGTGTTGGCATGTGGGTTTGGGAGGGCAGGTCCCAGGGCTTAAAGCTTCCCAGGTTAAAGAATGATGTCTGGGGTCCCCTAAAACGCTGAGCTAGTGACCTGCTCCTTCATCAGGCACATTTCAGTTGCAAGGAAAAGAAACCCACGTCAAACTGGCTCAAGCAAAATGGGGAAGTCTGTTGACGCATAGCACTAAAAAGCCCAGGGTAGGTCTAGCTGCAGGCATGGCTGGATCCAGGAGCTTGAAAACACCCCAGGGGTCTGAGACGCTCCTGCCACCCGTCTGCTCTGCTCTGCTCTCTTGCTTGCTGGAACCATCCTCTCGTGGCGAGGGTAGTTCTAGGAACCTTTCAGGGACACCCACCAAACACAAATCCCAGGATGAGTTCCAACTGCCCCGCGTGGGTTGTATGTCATCCCTGCACCCATCACGGTGGCCAGGGGGATGCCAGGCCAGGGCCACACGCCCACCTCTCCCTCCAGGAGGTGATGAAGCCAGCCTCACCCCAACCATGTGGACAGAGGCTGGTAGTGCCACCAGAGGAAGGGCAGTGCCCGCCACACAGTCTATAAGGTCTTCTACCTTGAGCTTTGTTAGGGATCACTGAGTGTCCCACGGAGCCCACAGAGGCCTCTGGGCTGGAGAACTTCTGGGGCCCAGCCAGACAGAGCGGCTGTGCGTAGACTGGGTTGCAGTGCCCCTGCAGCCTCCCTGAGCGAGGGGAGCAGCTGACACTGCGGTACACAGGATACGTGCAACCTGAGCCAGCTCGGCCCCCACCGAGCAGGTCAGTGGGCTAGATCAATAAATAAATAAACGCCCTGTGCGCTTTCCGCCTCCCGCTGCACCAGCTGGGCTGGCCACAGACAGACCACAGTGTTTTCCCAAAGGGAGGGTCGGCCCCCGCATGCTAACTATCCACACCAGCCTACAGCTGACCCGTTCGCTCCCTGGGGGCCCGGATGTAACCCAGACTGGAAGGCCCTCTCCCTCCGCCCTGGCTCCCCTGGGACACTCAGCTGCTCTCTGGCTCAGCAGCGCTGGGACAGGAGCCACCCCCTTGCTCCCTGGAGGGCCCTGCCTGCGTGTAACAATAAGCAGCCCTTCCAGCAGAGCCCACGCCCCTGTTCTGTGGGAGAGACACAGCTAGAGGCAGCTCTCCCACAGGAGGCTGGGGTCCTAAGGCCTCGGGGGAGGGAGCGGGAGACAGAGAGTGGGGTGAGAGGCACCCCCATCCCACTAATGAAGATAGAAGCAGGTAATCATTTTGCGAGATATATAGATATGTAGCTACGGATATAATTGTTATGTCTGTGCACCTAAAAATACTACAATGTTAGATGTCATTATATCTTAATTTGAAAAATGACATGAGCTTCAGGCATGGTTGGATCCAGGGGCTGGAAAGTAATTAATGACAAATGAAGATCAGTTGCCAGCTAGGTGATGAACATTGCCAGCTGTCTGCTCAGTATGATTTCAGCCTGAGACTGTGAGCTGCCTGATCCAGCTCATCCCTGCCCCTCCACCAGCGAGGACTACGGAGAAGCCCTGGAGGGTTTAGCCCCCTCTGGCATGAGCAGGGTGGCTCCCACCAGGCTGCCAGGACCTGTTCATCTACTACACAGTTACTCAGTCCTCCCGGTATCATATTCAGGTTGGAGGCAGAAGAATGAGCAAGAAAGACACAGATCCTGGCCTTTAAGAGCATCCATAGTCTAGCAGGGGAAACATACCCCAAACAAAGCACAGTAAATAAGTAAAGTACATGGTGTGTTAGAATGTAATTCCTGGTATGGAGGAAAGTAAACCTGGGTAAGGGCGATGAGGATGCCATGGGTCTGAATGCGGCAAAAGGCAAGGTCATGGGAGGTGACCTTGAAGCACACATTTGACGAAGGCGAGAGGAATGTGTGACACCAAGGGATTTGGACTTGCCCTCGGTCCTGTGTCCTGTGGGAACTTGCTCACAGTCATCCAGGGCTCCATGAGGGCTTAGAGGGCTCACAGAAATCTGTAGAGAAAAATCTTTCCCTCTGATGGGCAAGGACACCTCAAAGATGAGCTTTGGCCACAGGCTTGGCCATCAGTGTCCCGAGACCCTCAGTGGCCTTGGCTTACCCAGCATCCCTTTGTGCCCACAGAGGAGAAGTACACAGTCATCTACCCGTACATGGCTCGTGACCAGGATGAGATGAACCTGGAGAGAGGAGCCGTGGTGGAGGTCATTCAGAAAAACCTCGAAGGCTGGTGGAAGATCAGGTACCACTGCAGCTGGGTGGGTGTCAGGTCACGTGGGCTCCAGCTGCGCAGAGGTCTGTGAGCCATGCAGGTGGGGCGAGGTTTGGCCTGAGCCGCCAAGGGCCGCTTCTCCTCTGTGCTGTTTGGCTTCCCTCCCTACTCAGATCCTTCTCTGAAAGTCCGTAATAAGCAAAACCGTCTCCAAACACAATGAGCCACGGAGAGCAGTAACCCTGTTGAGCAAGACTGGTCCTCCTCCAGACGTTCCTCTTAATGAGTAACTGGCGGCTGAGCTGCCGCGTGTGATTTCCCTCCTCAGCCCGGCTCTGAGGCCAGCACAAGTCTCTCCGAGTCCAGCAGTGAAGGCATTTCAAACACTTTGTCACAGCTCCTTCCCCTGTGTCATGAAATCAGAACCCCACGGGCAGATAGGGCGCCAACTCATGCTGGTCTGCCTGGTGCTTTCCCAGGTTTATTAATGAGTCCTGGAAACCCTCTCTTGGGTCACCCTAGTAGCCAGGCAGTAACCACAGGAAACTGGGGCAAGAGAGGAAGCCTGAGGCCCCTGTCACCCAGCGTCTATGCCATGACGTGAGGCAGGACATGAGGGCCACTCACGTGGGGCTGAGTGTGTGATACTTCCTTCATTCATCCAGCAAACGCACACCAAGAATCTGTTCCGGGCCAAGCGCTGTTCTGGGAGCTGGGGAGTCAGTGGTGAGAAAGACAGGGATTCACAGCAAAGGGCACCGAGGACAGGCTCCCACGCCATCGCAGGCCAAGGTGGTGCCTGATGTGTTGGAGAGACGCACAAAACAGGGGCTTCTGAGCCCAGAGGCCAGGAAGGCTTCCTGAGGGAGGGGATGCACAGAACTGAGGTCTGAAGGAGTAATGGCAGTGACACATAACATCTTGAGTATATATGCTGTCTTGCTGCAAAACGAATTAACCCAAAACTTGTGGTTCTGGAATTTGGGAATGGCTTCATTGGCCCTGGGTCCGACCTGAGGCAGCCTGTGGTCAGTGGGGCCCGCAGTTGTCCAAAGGTCTGACTGAAGGGAGAAAGGGACAGTCTGGGTTTGAACCCCTGCCCTTCTCACCCCGAAGCCCACTTGCCACTGCATGTGTTGCCCCTCTGCTTATGGCTTTGTGCCCCCAAATGAACCGTCTCGTGTTGAGGCTGAGGATTGTATGGAGCGTGACATTTTCCAATTCAGACAAGATTTATCCCCACTCAGAGGGCAGGTGTTTTAAGATTGGTAGACTCCAAACTCTGCAGCTATCGCCTTATAATGTTGCTTTCAGTTACGAAGGACTTTCTTCACTGAAGCACAGTGCTATTTAGTTCTTAAAGTAATTCTTGACCAGATACTTGGCCCTGTCATGTATCCTTGCCGGTCAGTTAGGTGTGTTCAGCTCCCCTGAAGGTATAGGCACCTGTTCTTCAGTCCAGACCGGCGGGGTGCAGGGAAGTGTTTGACAGCTGCTCTCCAAGGGAATAATGCTCTTGAATTGCAGTGTTTGCCAATTTCCGTGGTGTAAATACTCTCACCCTGGCCAATGTCAAGCGTTCAGTGTGATGTCACCGAACATGGGGTTCAGAAGAAACGTGTGCCACTGTCACAAACAGCGTGAGCAGCTGTAAGACCAGTGGTCCAGACCAACCTTGGGTCATGCCATAAACTGAGTTTCACGTAGAGAATTAAGTGATCATTACACTCACTGGATTCCCTTTAGAATTCACTAAGCTGGTCTTTCGGCATCTCCGTCACTTTTGCAGTTCAGGGAGACACCCAGCTGATCCTTGGTAAGACTAGGAACCAGCCCTGACTTGCTTCATTCCCCTCTGAAGGCACATTTAACCCATGGAAACAGGGCCCCGCCCTTCCTGTGCCCGGAGCCGGAGCTGCTGGGAAGAGGCAGCAGAGCCTGGGAGTTAGGGGCACAGACAGGTGCCAGCAGCCGGGGTCTGAGTGCCTGTCTGCCACCTCCAGGACTGGATGGATGAAACCCATCAATGGCTATAAAGTACATAGTGCAGAACAGTACGTGCCCACTAAGTACCAGTTGTTATCATTGTCATTGCAGCGATGGCTATATGGGGACAGCAGCTATAGCAGAAGCTACGCCCACTTGCCAAGCCCATGTGCAGTTTGTCCACTTGCCTGTTAGATTATTCACTTCACCGGCACTGAGACCCTTGACACACAGAGATGGACCGGCCATGGCCCTGCCCCAGCGCGCGCGTTCTGCGTGGGGCGACAGGCCAGCCACATGTATTTGTGTTGTAGGTGTGAGCACTGTGGTGTGTGCAGGCGGCAGGGCTCCGTGGAGGGAGGGCTTCGTTCTCGGCGAGGCTCGGAAAGGGCTTGCAAAAGGAGATGGGATTAAGCAGAGCTGGGAAAGAGAAGCAGGGAGGAGAGGGGAAGGGGCTTTGCCGGAGGGTCTCCGAGAGCTGGGGCAAGGGAGTTGAAAGACGGAGGCGCATGTGGGAAGTTGCAGGCTGAGTTGGGCGGGTGGGACATGAGCGATGAGGCTGGGGGACAAGCTGAGGCCAGGTGGGAGGACCTTGAATGCCAAGCTCTTGATGGCTTGGGCTTCCCCGGGAGGTGGCAAGCAGTGTGCCAGCCTCTGGCGCTGGGCACTGCTGACCACCATTCCTGCCCTCTGGGCTCCGCGGTGTGACTCACAGTAGGAGCGTGGCTTCTTCCCATGGGTGGCAGGGCAGCCTGACCAGCATCCGTTCTTCTCCTCGCAGGTACCAGGGCAAAGAGGGCTGGGCCCCAGCCTCGTACCTGAAGAAGAGCGGCGGGGAGCCCTCACCCCCGAAGCTGGGCCCTGCCTCGTCCACCCACGCGGGCGTCCCTGACCTGGATGGAGTTTCCCGGCCGCAGAACTCGGTGGGCAGGGAGAAGGAGCTGCTCAGCAACCAGAGGGACGGCCGGTTTGAAGGCCGCCCGGTGCCGGACGGTGACGTCAAGCCGAGTGAGTGACACCCACCCAGGTCCCAGAGGCTCTGCCCAGTGCTCCTGAGACACTGTCCCTCATGCTGTAGATGAGAAAGCAGGGGCTCAGAAACCCGGGGTACCTTGTTCCCGGATCATTCAGCCAGCAAGCCACAGCCGAGCCTCTGAGTGGAGGGCGCTGCCTGCCTGCTCCAGACCACGCGTTCCGCTGCCTCGTGGTGATCAGATAGCTGCTGCTTCTCAGGGCCCTGCTGTGCGCCAGGAGTATTAGAATTAGTTTCCTTAACTCTGCATAACGGCCTTGGAGGGAATTACCACTTTCATTTTACAGATTGGAAAACAAAGCAATTGAGCGGTTTGCCCAAGATCACTGAACTAGTCCACGGAGGGGCCGGGACTTGAACCCAGGCTTGTCTGACTCCAGCACCAGTGCTCTCTCCACATGGCCTCATTTCTGAGCCAGAGGAAGAAAAAGTTAACCCTCTGAAGTTGGCTTTACTCTAACAACAGTTTTTTGTCTGTCTTTTCACTGCAAGCATATATATTACCGTTTAATGTGCCCAATACAGCTGAGAGTAGGGTTCATTATTGTCCACTGTGTTCTCAGGACTCCAGCCTCAAGCATGCAGCTTCCTGTTAGCCATTGGGATAAAGTCCTTTGTCCCTGGCTGGGCTTGTCTAGCAGTTTATGTGGCTCTTTTAGTCTAAGAACTTCTTGAGTCTCATGTTCTCTGCTTAGCTGCTCTGAGAAAGCACTGACAGGCCATGGCGGGGGTTCTATCCAGCACCTAGTTCCTGTGATTCCAATCTATCGTGGCAAAGGGTACAGGAGGATTCCCAGTAACCCCGAGGAGCAAACAAAGATCTGAAACCCCATATTAAGATAGGTTCAGATGCTCAAACAAAGACACACACCTCCCACCACCACATACATACACCTAATAACAGTGGCACAAGTCATTTAGATGTTTACTTCTTTTTTACAAAAGATCCAGGTATATGTCCAGGGCTACTATGGCCACCGTGTGCAGTCAGGAATCTTGTTACACTGCCTCTATTGCATGTTGCCCTCATCTTCCTAGTCTCGGATGGCTCACGGCTAGTCCAGTCATGAAAAGAGGCAGAGAGAAGTGGCTGATTAGACCAGAAGCTACACTGTTCCCACTCTCACATCTTACGGCTAGAACTTAGTCACATGACAATACCTAGCTGCAAGGGAGTCTAGGAAATGTTTTTCTATTGGTAGCTAAGTGTCTGGCTAAAACTCTGTTGCTATTTATGCTAACAGAAGACAGGAGAAGTGGTTATTTAAGCAATTAGCAGTCATCTCCACACCCCAACTGCCAAACTACCCATCCGTGAAGGCCCACGCTAAACCAGCTCTGGCAGTGCATGGGGTGCCTTTCTTAATATTCCGCCTTTTGCCAGGAGCCTTGGACCACCACAAAGTCATCTTCCTACTCACCCTGAAGCCCAGAGTAAGGGCACCTCCACTCCAGAGTAAAAACTCTTGAAGCCATCCTAAGCAACCTAAGTTTGGTTCTGTCTACATGTTGTTTAATTTGGATTTGTTCTAGAACGCAAAGCCAGAGGCGGTAACATTTATGGCATATCTGCCATGTGCCAAGAGCCTCACACAAATTGTTTACTTGCATCTCCACCACTGCCCCTGGGAGGCAGGCGTTAACTCTCCTTCTACAGATGAGGGCCTTGTGTCCCAGAGAGTCAGGTAGCTTGCTGCAGCCCACCTCTGCTATTCTGTTATTCCGAAGTCTTCACCTTTGCCCTTTCTGGAAAGCTTTCCAGTGCTCCAGCACAGGGCCAGCCTGAGCTGCGTCTGAACAGCCCCTTCCTTACCCAACTCTTCTCGCGAGAAGGGTCACAGCGGTCAGAGCAGCTCTCTGAGGCCTGTGCGGAGTGTTGTACCTTATCTTGTACAGGATGGAACAGATCTTTCCTGGTATCCCTCTCAGGAATTTCATCTGTAGAATTCTGCACATGTGTGAAATAAGATCTTGTCTTTTCATAGGATCACCCAAGATGAGGCAGAGACCCCCTCCTCGCCGGGACATGACCATAGTAAGTGGGCCCTTGCTGCTGGGGAGCCAGCCCCTGGCCTGACACGAGCCTCTCGCCCCTGTGCCTTCCTGTCCACCCAGTGGCCTCGTGCACCAGGCCAGACAAGTACTAGGCCATTGACAGGCAGAAAAGCAAGTTGCTCGTGGCTTTGCGACACTTGGGCTTCGTGGCACACCCTCTGCTTCCTGAGCCTGCTTCCCGTTGTCTTACATCAGTCTTCTCAAAGAAGGTGACTGAAACCGCAACTGGGATGAAGCAGAAAAATCATGTGTGGTCCCATTCTAATATATTACATTCATACATTTGTAAATTTTTTTGGTACCTTTCTGGCCAATACATTGAAAAAAACAGGTCATCTTTTTCTTACTGCCTGCCATTTAGCAAGCACCCGTTGCGTGCATGCGGTGTGCTGAGCGCTTTGCCGCACCCCCTTACGGAATGCCTACAGGGACCGCCCCCCGCCCCCATCCCAGTAGATCCACAGGAGGCGACATGGAGGCTCCTCAGTCGCACACGTAATCAGTGCTTCTCACCCAGACCGGTCTGACTTGAAAAACTGTGTTCTTTCCATAACCCTTGCCACCTCTTAGGTTCAGAGAATATTGTCTTGCCTCAGATGTTCATGATGATTGCTGGCAAATGTTTCTTCTCTTTGCTCTAAAGCTGAAGGGCCAGTGAGCTCACCCAGAAGATAATGATCTGAGTGGGCCTCTTTGTTTAGTCCCATGGGTCCACCAGCGCCCCCTTGAGAACGAGCGTGTGCCCCGGTCCCTTAGCCCCCCCACACACACACCCCTCTTTCAGTGCCGTGGTAATGGACTTATACTGGACTTAGCACTTTGTTTAATCATGTCAGCCTCGAGGCCTCAACCTGCCCAAGCCTCCCATCCCGCCCCAAGTGGAGGAAGAGTATTACACCATTGCCGAATTCCAGACCACCATCCCTGATGGCATCAGCTTCCAGGCGGGCCTGAAGGTCGAGGTGAGTGGACCTGTTGTCTCTTTGCCTCCCTGAGGTTCTTTTTTAAAATTTACTTATTGTGATAACATTGGTTAATAGCATTACATAGTTTTTGACTGAACCAAGTATTGTTTTCTGGTGATAAATTTTGTGCACTCTATTTTGCTCTTCTCCAGTTTTGCTTCCCGGTTCATTTCAACATCACGATAGCCTTCACAGTTCATTAACAGAGCCGCAGTGTGTTCTAGCAGTGGAACTGTTAGGCCCAGCTAATTCCTTGCCTAGCCTTTTTGTCTTTATAACGTGCTTCATGATAATCAGTGATGATATAGACCAGGTACCTTACATACAGTACTTGGTAACTAACCTAAGTCCTGAGAGGTCAGTATCCTCAGCCTATTTTACAGATGTACCTGAGACAAAGAGAGGGTACACAAGTTGCCCAAGGCGACATAGGTAGTCAGTGGTGCAGCTGGGATTTGAACCTGGGGCTCTTTGGTGTTAAAGCCCAGGCTCTTTCCTCCTCATTCTTTCGATTTTGCATTTGCTTTTATTCGTAATAGCTCTTAGCTTCTCTCTAGTGAATGAAATCTCCTATAAGTTGTGATTAATAACACAAATGTTTTAGAGCTTCTGCCATAATACTTTGCATAGTAAGACTGGCAAATCCTCATGGGTATGTTTCATTTTGATTATTGTTCATACTTAGTATTAGAGTTGTTGCATTCATGGATGTGCCCACAATGACTTGTGTGCCCAGAATCACCTTTAATTGTTACTGTAGCTGCCAAGTGTTGGCAAGATACTAGTTGCCCTCAGGTGAAGGGCTTGCATTTATCAGTGCCCTTTCCTGGAGAGAGTCCTACTCCTGGGACTTAAGTATATGCCTGTCACGTGCATCCTGCTCTCTCGGTAACCTTTGCTGTAATGTAATAATAGGTAACATTTACCTTCCAGCATCTGCCAAGTGCTGATGTATGCATTAGCTTATGTGATCAGCAAGTGGAGGTCACCGTTTTTACCATTCTCCCTTTTTTGTGGTATGGAATCTCAGGAATGTGGTTTGTGCAGGGCCATTCAGACCGTAAATGGTGGAGGCAGAGCTGGAACCCAGGCTTGCGGGCCCCAGGGCCCAGCCTCTGCCTCCTGGGCTGGGTCTGTGGCTGCCAGTCCTCTCCGCACTGGGCATAGAGCGCGGCAGCAGAACCTCTTCGTGCCCAGCATTTTATCATCCCAGGCCCAGCATCTCCCCAAGCAGGGCCCCCTTTTTGGGACAGGGTCAGACAGGGGGAAGGCTCGGGCTCCAGAGCCCACCAGCCTGCCTTTGACTCCCACCTCTGCCGTTGACTCGCCTGACCCTCTGCAAGTCCCCAGTGCTCTTGAGGCTCCGTTCTGCATCTGTCAAACAGAGTCATAACCCCATCTCATGGGGCAGTTGTGAGCGTTTGTGAGATCTCCTAATGCACAGAACCTGCCAGAGAACAGCAGGTATTAATTAGCTCAGGCCACCATGCCAAAGGACCACAGACTGGGTGGTTTAAACAGCGGGGGTTTATTTCTTCACAGCCCAGCAGGCTGGAAGTCCAAGATGAAAGTGTCGGCGGGGTTGGTTTCTCCTGGAGCTCCTCCCCCGGGCTTGTAGACAGCCATCTTCTCCCTGGGTCCTCACATGGTTGTCCCTCATTCTGTATGTTCTCTTGTGTCCTAATCGCTTCTTATAAGGACACCGGTCATAGACGATTAGGGGCCACCTTAATGACCCCCCCCCTTTAACTTAACTATCTCTTCAAAGGCTCAGTCTCCAAATAGAGTCACATCCTAAGGTACAGGGGTGAGGGCTTTGACATATGAATTTCAGGCAGACACAGGTCAGCTCCCAGCTTGCAACTTGCATACCTTTCACCCGTGTGAATTTAGATATGCAGTATGAACGAAAGGCAACGGGTAACATAACATCTTAAATATCGTGGGTGATTCTACCCACCGTTCCATTCAGTGGGTGTGTATCCCAGAGGGGGAAGGAGAGGAGATGAAAGTTTGTTTTACTCCCTTCAACATCAGTTCTCCTGAATGTAAACATGAGCTGAGTGTGATTCCCACGTTTAAGGGCACGCATTTCTCATCTAGCAAGGCCTGCAAACATCACTTTATCTGGTGCGCAACTGAAGCAGCAGCAACTGGGGCTGGTTTGGGCTGCATACGGGTTTCACTTGAATTGTAGCAGACACCACGGGGGGCCCACCCTGCACCCTGACCCCCCCTGAGCTGGCCTGCAGCCGCATGCAGGCCCCCGCAGCCGGCAGCTTCCCGCCTCCTGTGGTGCCTGGGGGCACTGCCCAGAAAGAGGGGAGTTCATTCCCTGGGGGAGGGGGCAGAACGATGAGTCCGGAGGTAAATGTCCCCACCCGCAGTGGGACAGTCTGATTCTGCATGGCCTCTCGGAGGGTCCCTGGTGGATTAAGCCCCAGTGGCCCAGAGCAATGACCTGCTCACAATAGGCTCTCACACTCCCCGTTCCCTCACTTGGGCCTTTCTGAAGTCATCTCTTACATGAAACGCCTATTCCCAAGTCCACGTGTTTGAGACTGTGTCTGGGGAAATCCAAAGTTAAGGAAGAGCCTGCCGCCATGCGAGAGATTCCTGGTATGTGGTAGTCTCCATAGACGGTCCCCCAGACACGTTGCCTGGGAACCTGCTGAGTGCACCTCCCTGCTTCTGGAGCTCCAGGTGCATGCGGGTCTCCTCCAGCGTCCTGGTCTGCTGGCTCTGGAACCCTAACCTACTAAGTATTTTCCTCTCTCCTCCCATCCAGGTGATTGAGAAGAACTTGAGTGGCTGGTGGTACATTCAGATTGAAGACAAGGAAGGGTGGGCCCCAGCGACCTTCATTGACAAGTATAAGAAGACCAGCAATGCCTCAAGGCCCAACTTCCTGGCTCCCTTGCCCAGCGAGGTGACCCAGCTCCGGCTGGGGGATGCAGCCGCGATGGAGAACAACACGGGCAGCGAGGCCAGCGGCCCCTCTCGGCCCCTGCCCGAGGCACCGCTTGGTGCTGCGGACTCCGGGATACCGTGGTCCAAAGACTGGAAGGGCGGTAAGGAGGGCCCGAGGAAGGCGCCCTCCGACACGTCGTGTGCGGGCTATGAGGAGATTTCAGACCGTGACCTGGAGGAGAAGCCCAGCCTCCCGCCCCGGAAAGAGTCCATCATCAAGTCGGAAGGGGAGCTGCAGGAGCGGGAGCGGCACAGGATGGAGCAGCTCAGGGGCTCCTCGCCCAAGCCTCCTGGCATGATGTTGCCAATGATTCCAGCTAAACACAGCCCCCCGGCCCGAGACGGCAGGAGGCCAGAGCCCAAACCTGACAAAAGCAAGCTGTTCCAGCTGAAAAATGAGATGGGGCTGGAGTGTGGCCACAAAGTATTGGCCAAGGAGGTGAGGAAGCCCAACCTCCGGCCCATCTCCAAATCCAAAGCCGACCCCCCGGAGGAGAAACCCGAAGCCGTTCCCCAGAACCCCTTCTTAAAGTCCAAGCCTCAGGTTAGGCCCAAACCGGCTGCTTCCCCCAGGATGGAGCCACCTCAGGGCGAAGACCAAGTGGACATCTGCCACCTCAGGAGCAAGCTCAGGCCTGCCAAGTCCCAAGAGAAGCCCTCGTTGGATGGAGAGAGCAGCCACCAGGCCGGTGGGGGCCAGGACGCGGCCTTCAGCCGCAGCTTCCTCCCAGGGGAGGGGCAGGGCCGTGCGCAGGACTGGACAGGCAAGCAGGAGGGGCTCGGCCCCAAGGAGGCACCCTGCAGAGCCCCTCCGAGGCCAGCCAAGACCGCGGACCCTGCGCCCAAGAACGTGCCCCTGCCTCTCCAGGAGGCCCCGCAGCAGAGACCCATGATCCCGCCCCGCAGACCACCCCCGCCCAAGAAAACCTCCTCAGCCAGGCCGCCCCCGGAGGCCCGAGGGCCACAGCGGGAGGCCAGCGAAGGCAGGGCAGCTCCCGCCCCGGGCCGTGCCCTGCTGGTCCCTCCAAAAGCCAAACCTTTTCTCTCCAACTCCTCAGGGGGCCAAGATGACAACCAAGGCAAAGGCGGGCCAGGGCCGCGGATGGTGGGCAAGATTGGAGAAAACAGGGAGAAAGCGGCTGCGGCCCCCTTCCCCAGTGCCGACAGCCCGAAGGACTTGTATGTGGCCGTGGCCAACTTTGAAGGTGATGAAGATTCGAGCAGCTTCCAGGAGGGGACCGTGTTCGAGGTCCGGGAAAAGAACAGCAGCGGCTGGTGGTTCTGCCAGGTCCTCAGCGGGGCGCCCTCCTGGGAAGGGTGGATTCCTTCCAACTATCTCAGAAAGAAGCCCTAGCCTCCTCCCCACCCTGTCTGGAGGGCCTGTGTGTCCCTGCTGGTTTTGCCCACATATTTAATATGCCTCTTAATTTATCATTCTCCACGCAGCTTCAAAGGAACGAAGGCTCTGGAGGACTGTGGTTGCTTCCCTCCCACGGGTAGCGTCGGCCCTCCCACCACGGTGGCTCCCAGAGCCTCTGGGCCACAGGCTGGCTTTCTCTCTGCTCACGACCCCTGCCTTAAGGCCGGTGGTGTTGCCACCGAGCTTCCCTGCCCTCCTGGCAGTGGAACCATGACTCTCCAAGGCCTCCAGAACCCACCACCTGGAGAAACTGCAGAAAGGGTTTCTCGTTGCCTGGACCCCACGTAGGAAGGGGCGGCCCCCCAGCCCCGCATCGAGTCCGCGACGGCTTACTCCAACTCCTCCATGTCTCGAAAAGCCCAGTGACTATTTGCCCAGTTTCCAAAATGCCTGGCACCAGAAAGGACTTCACCCTGTAGAAGTGGGCTCTATGGCCAGTCCCAAAGCGGGGTGTGCTCTGTCTCCAAGGCCTCAGGCCCCAGGCTTCTCTGTTAGACCAGAGGCAGCTACTCCTGCCTCCCATCTTCTGTCTTGGGAGCCTAAAAGGGGTGGGTCCTCAAGGAGTGGGTCCCGCCTGGAGCAAACTTCACTGCTGGGCTCCGGACAGTCCCCTCCCCACCCTGGGGCATGTCACTCTGTCTACCTAGAGCAAGAAGCTCAGTGTTTGTTTGAAAAAGGGGACTGTCGTGCCCAAGCAATTCTCCTATGTGGGCGCTCTTCTGCTGCGTAGCTAGTCAGTGCCAAGTTCCATAGGCGGCACTTTACACCCACATTTAACCCCCACAACAGCCCTCCGCTGTAATAGTGCACCCATTCCGTAGATGGGGTGACTCACCTAGCGAGCCCCAGGCACACTAGCTAGGACGAGCGGGGAAGAGGGTTTGCATCAAGGCCGGCCTGACTTCCCAGCCTGTGCCCTTCATCCTGGAAGAGGCCGACCAGGCAGGGGAGGGAGAGGCGTGGGTGCCAGAACCCCATCTCCTGCTTCTGTGCTGGCGTCCCGGAGAGGGCGCTGAGGTGGCCTCTCACGCCAGCCTTGAGGGGCCCTGGTGGCTCCAAGACTAGCCGTTGGTTCTACATTGAGCTGAGCGTAGCAAGCGGTGGCCTCCTCGGGTGACAGGGACCCAAGGGCCAAGCAGATGCCTCTTGTCACTCAGTGCTGCTGCTTCTGCTGCTCTCTGGCTTTCCTAGTTTTCTTTTTCTCCACTGCACTCTCCCTCTCTGTCTCACTGGGAAGAACCCAGGGCAGCCCTCCCACACATTTTGATGGTGTGGTTCATTCACCTAGAGTCACGGTCACCTGCAGAACTAGAACCAGGCCCCCGCCCCCAGTTGCCAGCTCTGCCTGAGGACCAGGCTGCCTGGCGGTGAGAGGGCAGCACCCCTCCCGCCCCCGCCCTGCCCTGCAGGGGAAGAGGAAGTGGCCCTGTCCTGCCCCAGAGTCGCCCATTCAGAGCATCCGTTGACGGCAATGCTTTTGGAACCACAAAGCCAGCTTTCCTGGGGGTGCTCGCTGTCCACCTGCTGTGCCAAAGGCCCCTGCCCCTCCCCCCACCCCCACCACATGGACTCTGGATGTTTCCGCAGAAGGAGCTTCCTCAGACCTGCACTGTCATCCTTGTCCTTCCGTCAGCCTGTGAGTCCCGTCCCTGAGGATCTTGGGGCAGGGCCCTGCCGTGCTCTGCGCTGCACCTGCTCGCCCCTTGGCCCTGTGCCCAGCACCCTGGAGGGAAGAAGGGAGGTGGCTGGAGCAGGGCCACCCACCTCTTCCCGGTCCCTTGCTTAGGACGAGGCCCCATAGTGTGCTTCCGTGAGTGAGCCACTTTGGTTTAAACCGCTTTTATGAAGCTGTTAGGCAGGATTTGACTCACACGCTCCAAAACACAAAACTCGAAAATTTTTTTTTCCTGACTCACTTGGTGCTTTCATTGACCTTTCCAAGTATTTTGTGAGCGCCTACCATGTGCTGGGCGCCAGCTAGACCAGGCTGCGTGCGACTCCCTGCCTGGCTGGGAGAGCTTTGGTTTTTGTTTGCTGATTCCACCGAAAGGGTTTGACTTTGACCTCTTTCCCTCCTCCTGGGCATCAGCTGGGTGGGAATGGATTGTTTCTTTCCTTCCCTGGCCAGAACATTTTCCTGCAAATGAAAGAACTTGCCTTTTATTTTTATTAACATTATTTTTTATTCTTATTCTTTGGACAGGAACTGAGGGTACTGAAGCTGTGTTCCACTCTGCTCACTGTTTTCCCTCAGGATACCCTTGTGTCCTGAGCTCTGCTCTCTCGCGCTCCTTTGCCACAGCGGTGGGCACGTCCCCAAGCACCTGGAAGGGGGGAGTCTTGGTGGCAGTGGCTCTCCCTAGCTGTCCTTGCCTGTGGACTTAGGGTTACACCGTCCAGGTCTGTGACCACTCTTTGTGAGCAATTGATGGAGCATATGCAAAACACCCTGGAGTTACAGCCGTGGAAACGGCCTGGGCTGTAGGAATGACCCCTGACGCCAAGCTCCGGCCGGTCACCAGGGTTTCAGCCCATTCCCTCCTTTAACTCAGTCCCCACGATAACCCTGTGAGGTGTGTGGGGTCAGCCCCGATCTGTTGCGGAAAAACTGAGGTTCAGGGGTTGAGGCTCTGTTCTTAGCTTCATCCGAATGGTGACAGCGACCAAGCTGAGACTCAGATCTGGGGGTTTTCCCCCCAGTGCACGTGACTTCCTCTGCCACCAGCAGTGAAACATACTTGGGGCTTCCAGGGAAGCAGGTGACTCTCCTTCTGACTGAGTTCCCCCTCCCCATCCCACAATGACAGGTCAGTAGGTTACCCGTGAACGCCTGTCTGAAGGGCAGACAAAGGTGGGGTTTTCTGCTTTCTTCCTCTCCGCTTCCTTCCTGCATTTTATTGTACATCTTAGAGTAAAACTACAGTGTATGGTGCCACCGCATCTTTGGGAAAATACGAGTTTTGAGGACCTTCACTGGATAAAATAGGCCTTTGCTCAAAAATTTCACTCAGAGGTTCTTTGCCATGTGGCGGGGTTATGTCCTCGTCCCAGGCTGGGACGTGGGGAAGAGCTGGGCTCCAGCTGGAACCGCTTGTAATGCCGTCACCTTCAGAGGAATTACAAGGGCCCAGGTCAGCCTGCCCGCCGACACGGGGGGGCTCCCGCCCCGGGCCCCGCCACGTCACCGATTTCTGAGGCTGCATTCTAGGCCTGAAAACATTGTTGAGCCCACCAGGGTTTCGTCACCAGGCGGAACAGAGGAAAACAAACTTGCCACATTCGAGGGCAGGTGCTGAATCTCCCCAAGGTTTGGAAGGATTTGAGGGACGGACAGTCCGGTATTTATTCAGCCCGTACCAAGTGCCAGCATTGAGTGGAATTAAGGACTTGCTCTTGCCCTCAAACAGCTGGCAACTTGGCAGCAAGAATGAGAAGGTCCGTGGCTTGGCTCCCAGCCTTTCATTGTGCTGAGTCTCTTAAGTGTCGGGTCTGCCCGCTCCTGGGAGGCCTCGCCCTTGTCTTTGGACTGTGCCAGCAGGCACACAACAGTCTTAGCCACACATGGCAGTCTTGTCCCCCTTGGTTGTCCAGGCCTGTCCTTCGGGGCGAACAGCCAGACGGTGGATTACCTAGGGTCCAGCTGTGGCCTGAACGAGTGATGATTGGCTCACACTGAGGGTGCAGGGCGCCCTCCCTTAGCCTAGAGGAATTGCTCCGGACTTGGCTAAGGTTCTGGCTTTGCGGAGTTAAAACCAGGAGGCTCCCCACTCATGGACCGCCTGCTGAGGATGCTTCCCACAGGCGTGACCGTCCAGCTCCGTGGGGTGACGTCTGGTTTCTGGTGCTACCCTGCGGGTTACTGAGCCCCTCACTGTGCTGCCACATTCCACCTCCCTCCCCATGTCTGCCTTTACGCTAAAGGAGGCTTCCTAGTTCCAGTCAGGGACAAAGGGGTTCAGTCTCTGTTTCCTTGAAGAGGCCAAACCCAGTGTCTCAGCCAGTAGCCTTCACTTCCAGTTCTACAGACACACAAGGCGATGCCCGTCAGGCTCGCTCCAGCAGTAAGCAATTCTCAGGCCGCAGAGGTGTCCGTGTTTGACCCCCGCGTAGGCCGGCCTCTGCCTTTGTGCCCTGTCATTGTTAATAGCGCCCCTTTTGCCCTCCCAGGGGTGAGGAGGAACTAGGGCCACCTTAGCTGCAGCCCACATGTCCTGCTTCAGGGAGCCACCAAGTGAGTGGGCCACTTCTCACGTCCCTCCAGGAACGGGGGGCCCTGGCGGCACTGGCCCGCCACCCTGCATCAGCTCACAGGCTGGTGCTGGAGACTTCGGACACTCGGTGCTCCTTGTGCCCACGGCAGACAAACTGTTTCCTTTTAACACACACAAAAAATAGATGAGGATGTATAATGTGAGGGGGAGGGTGATGATAAATAGCTGTAGCATGTATAGACTATATACTTCCATTAGACTTTTTCTTTTTTCTTTTTTTAATAAAAACGTGCTTGACTGGTTTCAAGCCCCATTGCAAAGATGCAGTGTCTGTGGACTTTATTTGGCTGAAGAAAGGATGCATAGCTTTGTGTCCCGGCGTCTTGGCCTGGGTTTTGAGATCAGAGAACAGAAGCCTCTATGAGCTTTTATGTCTGGGCGTTGCCCAGAAATGGGAGGGATCTCTGTCTTTGAGTCCTTGTGCATCTTGATTCTTTTAACCACAGTGTCCAGAAGCCGAGGGAAAGCTGGGTGTCTCCCACATATTCTCAGCTCCTAAACTCACACGGCCAGGGGGCCTGGAGCATCTCGCTGGTGTTGCCTCCTGCCAGGCAGGCATGTGCTGGAGGGCGGGGCCCTACGGAGACTGCCCGGGCCCATCTGCTCCCAGGAGGGCGAGGCATTGTCTGACCTTTTATTACTTTCCCAAGGGCAGAGCCAAGACAAAACCAACCCCAACGTGGAGCCTTCTTGGTCCCAGGTAAGTCTTTAAACAAAATGGCACCGCCACCCAGCTTCCTGGGGAGGGGAGAATAGGACCCTCAAGCCCCTGAACAGAAGAACTGCAAGGGGGCGGTTTACATAACACCATGCATCCACACTTGGAGGAAACTAAAGAAAGCAGCGCCCCGTCAGACCTTGCTTAGGGGTACTGGCCCTTCATACACCATATTACATATGTTCCCATAAGAAGGGAAAATGTCGTTCGGGTGCCCTTGGGAACGTTTTTTCCCAAATCTTCCAAACCAAGAGTGCTCAGCCGCAAGATGACAAGCGTAAGATAACCTGGGCTTCTCTGGTGCAAAGTTCTGCCTCTGACCACACATTACCTCTGTGATACTTTGCATCCTCTCCTGTAAAATGGGGACAAGAAAGCCCTTCCAACAGCGTTGTGAAGATGAATAAAAATAATGTATGCCTCGCCCATAGAATTAATGGTCTTCAAATATTTTCATTACCTAATGCAGGAGCTGGCAAACTTCTTCTTAAAGAGTCAGATAATAAATATTTTGGGCTTTGGGAGCCAAGAGGCAAACCCAGAAGGTTATGCAAGGACTTGCATAACTATTTAAAATGTAACCATTTAGCACGTAAAACCCATTCCTAACTCTGTACAAAAACAAGCAGCTGGGTGGATTCGGCCCAAAGGGGATAGTTTGCCAACCCCCTGGCCTGGTGTATATTTTCATCTCCTATTTTATTACTTTTCTCTAAATGAAAGTTTTTCCAAATTGTGTTTACAGAATATCAGTCCCTCACATGGTCATGACAAAGCACTGTGTGGTCAAATCCACTTGGCAAACACTGTGTGAGCATCATCCAAGCCTCCCTCTGTGGGGACCCATGGCCCATGCTGCCCTGGAAATGCAACAGGGAAGAAGCCATTGGCCCTACTTTAATCCAGTGTGCCCAAACCGTGTGTGACAACAGAATTCTTTTGTTCATGTAACATTTATGAACATCCCAGAGATCACGCTTCGGAAAATGCCATCGCAGATCCCAGC